CCCTGACAATGACGGTGCATTTTATAGTTGGAAATATCTATGAGTATTTGCCACTTTGTAATGAAGAAACTACTGCCATTGAGTGTTTACAGTTTGTTATTTAAACACATCCAGACACTTATGTTACTGCTGATGATAATGTGTCATACGTATGTTGCATTTAACATGCACTTTAGGCATATTGCAATTGAGTGCATATAGAGAAATGAGTGCTTTTCTCTAAGTGCTGCCACTGTTTCATCGCTACTTATTCATGACTGGGTTAAAGACCATTATCATAATGTAATCAAATTTAATGCACAAATATTTGTTAAGTGCTGTGTTACTAATGATTTCATTCACCTTTTATGAATAATTGTATTTCAATAGTGAGAATGCAAATTTATTGCAAACTCTAATTGCTGCCAGGTACAGGACAAACATGTCTTGTCTTACCTAACACTACGTAATATACGCAATTTGCAAAGATTAGCAAATGATTTCCATTGCATCTGCTATGACCCGTTGTTGACCCTTGTAAGAAACCTTACTTTTGGTATATATTCTATGCACGCGTTGTTTTACATGTATGTCCACTGTGCTCTAAATACAGTAGGTACATGTACATCTTGTATGAAATCTACAGCAGATATAAGTCAGCCAATTTGCCAGTTGGGTTTATATACTCAGAAGGGAGATTTTCAGTATTAATGAGCTCATTACAGAGCAGTCTTTATTAGTACATGTACATGTATGTAACGGGGGTTGTACACTATGTAGGGTGCTTCTACATAATCAGTAGTAGTTCTTCAAGCCCACCTCCCCCACATCAGGTCTTGATTATGAATGCATTTAAGTAGTGAGGCACATGAAGAAAATGAGTGCAGGAGAGCGGTGAGAGCATTTAAGGTACATTTTGTTTGTTTAGATCGTAGAAGAGAATGGAGCTGGAGGGATATAGATGAAGATAAACAGGAAGAAGGTGAAGTGGAAAGAGGTCGATGGTGAAGATGGATGGTGGGGATGATGACATTGGACAGGAAGATGATGGTTTGGAGATGAAGATGGTGAATGAGGACTGGGGTTTAGCCGAATGTGGAGACAAATTGCGTGGGATGATGATGCTCATACTGTTGGTGATGATTAGTATAATGATGGGTATGTTGGTGATAGTGGTGGAGGTGAAGGTGGTGGTGGTGGTGGTGGTGGTGATGATAGTGGTGATGGTGGTGGTGATGATGATGATGATGGTGATGATTTTGTTCGTTTTATTTCTGATAATCAACATGAAAAATCAATAAATTCCATAACAATAATAGAATGATAAAACGGTTGGATAGTCCATTTCAGAGCCATTAACTTAATGGCTCTGTTCTTCCATAGAGTCCAATGATGATGGGGATGTTGAGGTTGAGGTTGAGGTTGAGGTTGAGGTTGAGGTTGAGGTTGATGTTGAGGTTGTTGATGATGATGATGATGATGATGATGATGATGATGGTGATGATGATGATGATTGAGGTGGTGGTGAGTTTAAGATAAGCTATGTGAGGAGAAGAAGATTGGTGATAAAAAGTAATACTGGTGATGTTGATGATGAACGTAATATTGCTGATTGTGAAAGTAATACTGATAATGATGTTGATGATAATAGCAATGATAATGAGGGGTACAATCATAATAATGAATAGGACATTAGGTAACAGTTTATTAGATGATGAACATGATGATGGTGGAGATTTTGCGATAGGAGTTAACTTAAGGAGGTAAATTAAGGATAATGGTGGATGTGAGAGTCAAATGTAAACAAGATTGTGCTAATGGATGCAGAGGAGGAAGCAGATGTAAAGGGAGATGATTTGAAATTATAAGAAGGAAGGCGACAAACAAGGTAATTTGTAGAAGGCAAAGAAAAGGAAATTTAGTCAACAATCATGACATTTAATAAAAATAGAATGCCCTTAGAGATGAAAAGGGAAGCAGGAAGCACAGATAAAACACAAGTAGGAAAATATTTGAATAAAATACAGCTACATACATTTGAACATGTACAAACGCAGACAAAAGAATAATTAAACGAGGATAACCCAAAATGTGTACGTGTACGCATCTGTCTGGTTGCCATACCAGCGAAAAAGGAGACGTATATTCTCCGAGCTACCATTGCCCTTTTACCATTGCCATATTGGTCTAGAGCTAGTGAGCCTAGCACTGTACAGTTGCCACGATCATGGTCGCCGAGACACAATTAGATCAAGTCATTGCTCGCTTTCATTTGACCTTGCGAGTCGCCCAACGACTATTGTAACCAGTCAACACGTTGTACAAATTAGTGCACAATACATTGGATGAGTGAACTTTATGCACCGAAACATGATCGCAAAGAGAGTAAACGCACATTCTGCATGTGGGCATCAGAAGCTCAGTGGTATTGCAGTGGTCTTGTAACTGGGAGGTCCCAGGTTTGAAACCAATCTGATATACTAGTTCCTTTTGATGAGGCATTAATAACAATAATAATAATACACACCATTTATTAGGCGCTTAATATAGGTGTTTCTAAGAGCACCATTGACTGACTAAAAAATTTTCAACCAAAACTTAAAATAAACACATAAAATATAAATTTGTTCTTTTTTCAATAAATCATGCATATATAATAATAACAATAAAAATGAGATCAAACATAAGGTCAAACATAAGATCATCATTAATCCTCATTATAGAGTTCCTGGAGAGGACTTAAAGATGTTGGTCCTGTAGTTCCTTACTTTTAATACAGTACAAGCATCTTCATGCTTTTTCCGCAAAATGTATTGATAAGAGCAGCCTTAATATTTTTTTAGTTTGAGGTGGATTATATATTTGTATTTTAGCCAACATCTAATGTACATGTATGTGTTACGGTATGTAGACAATAAAATTATTTAAAAAAAAATGATAAAACAAGATTGAATGCTAGGCACAATAATTATCAGATTTCCTTTGCCCTTCAATTCATTGCCCAATTCATTTTTTTCTTCAAATACTTAAATTGCAATTCTAGCATTTGAGATAATCAATTGATTTTACTTGCTTTATCAGAAGACATACTTTTGTGTAAACTTTGAGTACATTTCTCTTTGGCTACAAGTATGTTAAAAAAAGCAATCTGCCATTTTTTGGTCGGGAAACATGAAAGAAAACAAAAAAAGTATTTCTGCAATTTATTCCAATCACTTTACATTGCATCAAATATCTAGCTTAAGGGTAGGATTTCAGACTTAAACATAACATAATGTACTTGTGACTTGTGAGGGTATGCAATTATAGATTTTGTAGTCATGAATTGCAGATTCCATTGAAATAATGCACAGATTTGTATGAGACCGCTGTACCACGCAAATCACATGATACAGTTTATGGAATTCCTTTTCCCGGTATTGCGTTGGTCAATGATTTGATGATTACAAGTATTTCATATTAGTTCCAGAAATAGATTTGTTAGCTAGGATACAGTTCACAGAATTACATTTACTCTTTTCCTGATAATGCGTTGGTCGTGAATGTATTATAATCTAAAGGATGTGTAACAAGTCTAACATCTATGTCATACATGTAGTCATTCCAGAAAGATATTAGTAACTATCCAGAAATAGATATTGTTGCATTCGTTAGTATACAGTTCACGGTATTATCTTTTTTCTGGTATTTTTCCATTCACTCAAGAAATAGACGAGTAGGTGGCTAGAAATAGTCGCTTTATGCGCTCACTATTTTTTAAAAGAGATTTTAAAAAAAAGATACGTTTACATGCCCTGGCAGTAACTTCATGAAGAATATGTTTTTTGTTGAATGAGTTGATGAGTTGAAATCAATATTAGGAATAATGGATATTCACATATTTTCATCCATTCATTCATTTATATTTATTTTCAAATAATCATGCAAATATATAATATTAATTGATAAGAAGTATGTGTTTTTATCTAAATCTAGTAAATGAAACATTTAAAGTAAATGCACAACATATGATAAGTTATAACCTTATGGAATTTTTTTGTTGAAAACACAAGGACTTGCTATTAAAATACATGTACATTCATGTATATTGCATGTCGAGACATGTAAACAACAAAATATGCACACCAAAGGTAATTTCCATGCTCAACACACCATTATGCACGAAATGCTCGAAAATGAGTTTCCACTATTCTAAAAATAAAGATTAATGTCCGATTCGACAACTTGAGAACATTTTCAGAAAATGTGCAGCTGTCGAGTGCGTCCCGTTGGTGGCAACATGATCGCATCTCGCCCGTTGATATTCGATTTGAAATACAGGGTTTCAAAATATGAGGATTTGAGTAAAATAGGCAAAGTATTGTAGCAGATGATGGGAAGTGATGTTATATACTCTTGTTACTTTTATGAAATGGAATGGGACATTAAGCTGAAGGTGACATTAATGTGTTTTCACTAAAGGGTGGAAAATGATTATTGATTGACGCATTTTATATTTGGTCATATTGTAAAAACATATTTGGGTAAATATTGATTTTAAAATATGTTTTGAGCAAATATTGATTCAAAAACATATTTAGAAAAAAGATATACCCTCGGTATGTTTTGAACAAGTTGATAATGGTGTAAATGTACAATTTGTCATTCTTTGGATGTTCTTTGTTTGGAGGGAATAATGCATGTTTTGTTTGATATTAAGAAAACAATTTATGTCGTCTTTTTTGACAGTCCAAAGAGGCATGTAATTTTTAAAAGCTTTATGAATACAGTGTTATTATTATTAGTCAAAGAATAACTTTTTATTTGTCTTTAGCACTAATTTATTTATGTAATCTTTTTTTCTCTCATTCTCTCTCTCTCTCTCTCTCTCTCTTTCTCTCTTATCTTTCTCCCTCTCTTTCTTTCTCTTGTTTCGCTTTCTCGCTTCTTCTTCTTCTGCTCTGTAATTTCTTTCTTTTTCCTTTTCTTGTTTATTTTCTTGTTTCTCTCTCTCTCTCTCTCTCTCTCTCTCTCCCCCTCTCTCTCTCATTGTCCTTTGTGCAGATTACTTGTGTGACCCAGATGCCAATATCTTCAGTATAGACTTCACAAGGTTCAAGATCAGAGATATGGAGACGGGGACAATTTTATTTGAGATCGCCAAGCCACCACCATCAGGTTTGCAATAACAAAAAAATGTTTTAAGAATGTTGTTTGAAATGTAAAATCTAGGAGGATGGATGGAGGGGGGGGGGGGAGAATGGGAGAGGGTGAGAGAAAGGAGAGAAGGTGGAGGGGAAGATGGGAGGGGGAAGAGGGAAAGAAGGAAGAGGAAGACCAGAGTTTTGGAGACAGGAACAATTTTGAGATTGCCTTCGGCCATTATCAGATTTGCAATAAAACGTTTATTAGGAGGGAGGGAGGGAGGGAAGGTAGGAAAGAGACAAAGAGATTCAGAAAATAAGAACATATAATTATTTGAGAAAGAAGGAAGAAAATGAAAGAAAAAAAAATGAGGAGGCAGAAGAACAAGAAAAGAAAGTAGACATGAGTGCAAGAACTTTAACGGTAATGCAGGATTTAAGCTATCTTTAATCATCAGCAAGATGTTATGTGATATCATTTTGAATATACATATACCTAATTCTGTTTTGGCTGTAGATGGATTATTTTTCCTCTTGGTTTATTAAAAGATCTGTTCCTTAAATAACTTGGCTGGAACAATGCATCTAATCAATTGTATTTTTAAGGAAATACACCATCTGAGCCTCACAAGGCCTTGTTGATTAAAATACTCAAATTGGCTGACTAATTATGGATACCGTAATAAGGGTCATTAATTAGGGGGGGGGGGTAATTAATCCAACTTGTCTGTGTCTGTAAGTAACAGGAGCAGGAGGGAGAGAGGAGAGGAGAGGATGAAATGATGAAATGAGGAGAGGGAAAGGAGAATGAGGGAGGGGGGGGGAGGAGAGAAGGAGGAGAAGAGGGAGGAGGAGTAATGTGGAGTAATGAGGAGTAATGAGGGGGAGCGTGATGAGGAGGAAAAGGGGAAGGAGAAGAAAAAGGGAGGGAGAGATATGAAACATGCAATGGGGGGGGGGGGGGGGGGATGGATGACAGGCCATTGATGGATGATACGAGCTTTACACTATGAACATGACTGACAAAGAAAGTGGACAAAATATACAGTTCCTCAGGTAGACAAAGGAACATCCCTTCACTGCTATTATGTAAAAAGGTGAATATGCATGTGACACCTGTTCTACACATTTTTACATGATAGCAGTGAAGGGATGTTCCTTTGTCTACCTGAGGAACTGTATATTTTGTCCGCTTTCTTTGTCAGTCATGTTCATAGTGTTAGCAAGCGGCAAGAGGAAAGAGGAAGGAGGAAAGGCTAAAAAAGGAAGATAAGAGAAGAAAAAATAGTGTAGAAGGCAAGGAAGAGAAAGAGAGGACCCCCCCCCTCAGAATGAGATGCAAGAAAGGGGTTTTTAATAAAGAAGACGTAAATGACATGTTTATTACGGATGGAGGTGGAGTAGCAAACTACTACTGCCTTTTGAACGACATCTTTATTTATTGAAATGGGTCGTGTGTGACTTTTATTGGAGTTAATGATCCAATCATGGATGGTTTATTGAGCTGACATCAAATTCAGCACATAATTTTATCAAGTTAAAGAAGAGAAATAGTTCGCGTATTAGATGGATGCTGATGAAATTATCTTTTCAAATTTGATCAGTAACTAATGGTCATTGATAGATCTCTAGTATTACATAATATCCTGTAAAGAGGGGAGTAGGGGTAGGGGGGAAAGGATTTTTTAATGAAATTGTTGATAAAAATGAAGTTCTTGATGAATTTTGTTATGTATTAAGAAATGCTATGCCTCAAATTTTAATGTATTTTTGTTCGTCATGTAATTTTTTTGATGGAAAATGGAAAGTAAATTTGTTTGGCCAAACAGATGAACAAATGCTTTATTTGTTATTGTTTTGTCTGTCCAGTAGAATATAAGACGAGGAAAGCTACGTTTTGAGCCTATTGATTGTACATTTCATTACCGGTATATCACATGATTCATGAAAAAAAAAAAAAATTGTTATTTTATTGTCAAACCCCCCACCCCCCCCCCCCCCCAAGACAAAGTAGTCAGTAGTTGTATGAAGTGTAGTTTTTTTTTTCTTCTTTATTTTTCATAATATTTTGGTGAAAATAAGATGGAATAAAATGTGTTGTGAGACATATTTCTGGGAATCCCCATGAGTAGCTTATTGCATTGTTTGGGATTATCAGAGAGTGTCTTCATTTCATAACCTTATGTAAATCCGGCCCTGTTTCATAAAACTTGTCATCAATAAAAAATGCTGAATTTCTAAGACAAATTTGCTCTCAGCCAATCAAATAACACCATTTCAGTAGCTTATAATGGTTGTATTGTAACTAAGGCCCAAAATAAAAACTTGTTGTATTGCCCTTTGCGACCGACCCAAAAATCTGAAAATCTACGGTCGGCATTTTAAAAAAAGTTAAAAAAAAAAAAAAAACGTTTTTTAGATCTTTTTATTAAAAAAATATGTATTTTGTTTGTTGGGATAAATGGGACAAAAATGCATAAAGGCAAATCATTCCCAAATTCTCACTCGTCTTCTGCCCTAGTTTTAAAATCCTACTAGGCAAGCGTAAACATCTCGATCAACACAACATTGCAAACCATGGATTATTATGAGGTGAAAAAGATATGAATAGAATGATGACGCTGAAACACATGTATGAAGGCATTAAAAAGTGAGAAATATCAGCCAAAAGAGGGCATAAAAAAACAAGCTTTTGCTTATAACGGCGACCTTCTGCTTTCTTTCTTTATACACGCAATGGCCCAACGTATAAGTTTACTCTTACTCATGTATTATACATTTGTTTCTATATTTTGTATATTGTTTGCATACCTTATGTTTTATATAATTATCCATATTTGTTGTATAACTGATTTGTTTGATTGCAGAAAATAAAGTCTTTGAAATGAAAATGAAATAAAAAAACAACAGTCAAACTTAAAAATATCGGCCCAAAGAGGGCGACAAAAAAAAGTAAAAAAAAAAAAAAAAGCTTTTCCGACCGACCGACCCATGTTTTGGCACCCAAAGGGCAATACAACAAGTTTTTATTTTAGGCCTATTTATTGATAACAAGTTTGATGAAACGGAGCCCTGATTTGTTTTTCATGTGCAGAGAATGATGACGATGTGGAATCAGAACCGGAGGACGTCGATCCCAACGCAGGAAGATTTGTCCGCTATCAGTTCACACCACAGTTTCTCAAGCTGAAGACGATCGGCGCAACGTAAGTTTGGTGTCATCACAACGCAGGATATCTATCACTTCTTTTCTTTGCATATTGCTCGTACAGTCAAACCTGTCTATAGCGACCGCCCAAGGGAAACACAAAAAGTGGTCTTTGTAGACAGGTTCCTTTAGTACATGTTTCAATGAGAAACCATTTTCCAGGGAAACAACAAAATGTGGCCTTTGTAGACAGGTGGTCACTAAAGCAGGTTTGACTGTACTCACGCAACAAAAAAGATTTATGGGGCATACAGGAACTATCTATCGATTGCGAGGAGGGGAGGGGGGAAGGGGCTTTGATGTTAATCTATCCAATATATTTTCAACAGCAAAATACCACATACATATGAACACTGAAGAAGAAAGAAAATATTCTCTTCAAAATAATTATTTTGAGGTTAGTATGACATTTTCTCTTTACAGTTCACACATGCACCGAAAAATAAAAAAGAAGAATAAGAAAACAAAACTCACAGTCGAACAAAACGTGTCAAAATGCCCTTTTAACAAATTAAACTATTGTAATTTCAAAACAGTCCAAAATAGATGCACTGTATGCATAATTCTAAACAGAGGGTAGCAATTTGCCTCAAGATATCTGTATATATTTATTCACCAATACATTAATTACCATGTTTTCTCTTTCATCCACAATTTTCTAAAGGCTTTTGTCAACAACTATTACTCTGAAATTTGTAAAGTAGATTTAATCCTTTCTTTTTTCCCCACTCATTTTCTATATATATCTACAGGGTAGAGTTTGTGGTCGGTGACAAACCAATCAGTAACTTCAGGATGATCGAGAGGCATTACTTCAGAGATAGATTGCTCAAGAGCTTTGACTTTAACTTCGGTTTCATCATCCCCGACAGCAAGAACACCTGTGAACATATATATGAGTTTCCTCAGCTATCGACGGACGAAAGTGAGTACTGGTTTTAATAGTAAGGGTGCTGCGATGATGCTACGGTGACGATACGATGCTAGTGTTCCACAGATAATTTCCACACTATCCAAAGTCCCAACTTTTAATCTTGATGCAACACATTATTTAGCCCTGACCCTAACTCTTAACTCCAAACCTTAACGATAAACTCAACCATAAACCTAATTCTAACCTTAACCATAAACTTAACCATAAATTTACTCAAATCGTAAACACAACCCAAACCCTTAGCTAAAATACAATTGCAACCCTAACCCTTTATCTAAGATGAAATAAAGCCTAGAGATATGTCGTTCATTGGAGCGTACGTCAGATCACTGTAGTTAAGCATGTAGCTAATTGACGGACAAAGATCTAGGTGTATTCAAAGGTCAATGCATGGAGTTCTCACTTAGAGAAGAGTTGTCAGACTGAAAAAAACCTTTAAGAAACATCTTATCACAGCGGGTATACTTCTTAATGTACTTCAGCAGAACATGCCCTTGACTTGTGTACTAGTGTTTTTTTAACACCTAAGTAGATTTAGTGAGATCCCTAAAAACATCATTATCTAGAAACCTCCATATGCTTGGCTTCCCTTTAAGTTTCTCATTGTCCAGACAAGTGTTCCCTAATCTTGTGTCTTGTGGCACTCTCTTGTCTCAGAGCTTAACCAAATTCATTCAGTGGTGTTTAAGAAATGGGTTTCCTCAAAACGTCTTCCAACGATTAACCTTTGAAGGTGGAGTAGGACGTTCAGACCGGATAAAAGAATGGAAGTTTTTGTTTGTCCTGCTCTTAGTAGGAATGCTGCTCTCCGTGTATTTGGCTAGAAATTATTTTTCACTGTGGTCATCAGCAAAACTTGGATCCAGCTAGTAGTCAGATCCAATTAACTTATAGATAAAAGGGGTACTCATGGATTGATGATGGAAAGTAGAAACTTGGTTACTGTTAGTTCACAAGTTTGCTACAAAAGATTGAACATTGAAATTAAGTATTTATTGTCCCTTCTGAAATTTGTTTTTCACCGGTAAAAACTTTACAAATCTATTTACAAAAAGAAATATTCTTAATCAAAGACAATTACAGTAATGGTTAACTACATTCATAACAGCTTTAGTTGGGTATGTTACATTCAATAATTGACAGAAAGGTTACATGTTATTTAGTTTGTTTGAAGAAAAAAATATTCATGGCTTTTTTAAACATATTAGTTCAGTCTCATTTGACCAAAGTGAGAGAGTTACCAGGGAATAAAGCACTATTTTTAAAGAGGCTGCTATGATAGAGACTGATATTTGTTGTAGGGGTTTTACAAAGATAAAAGAATAGTCAGAAACAAAGGGTGTGTCAAGACAATTCCTGTCTACCAGTTATGAATTATAGCCATCCAAACAATGCAGTCTATTTAAGAGTCCAAATTAAATTCACGTGGTTGAAATCACTCATTGGGAAGCTGAAGAAAACATGGATCAGGGACGCCTCCTTTCCGTAGCATTCGGTCCATGAAACGCTTGGAGCGATGCATGCATGCATCAACGGTGACATGTTTGACAAGTCAGGCTAGAGAAAGAAGAGATTGTAACTGGGTCGGAGCAACATTGCACAACATTTACATCATTGCCCAGTCTGCCACCGTACCCGACCCGCTTGCGTCATCTTCTGTGGCGGTTGAAATTGAAGCATGTTTGGTAGATTAGCCGTGCTGTTTGACTAACTCTAGATGGGCGTAAACTACTGTAGAACACAGTATATGACACAATATGACACAATATGACACATTATGTCACAATTTAAAATGATGTGGTTTTTCAGTATTTTCTTTTAATTTTCTTCAACATGATGACTATAGTTGTTTCGGAACCAAATGAATCCAACAGGCAAATGTAATTGGAATGTATTTTGAAGATTATCTTTGCTTATTAAGCAACACAAGTAGGGACTGTATAAGGTACTATGTACTGAAGGATAAATAGTAAAAATTGTACCAAAATTAATGAAATGAGTTTTTTTTTTCTTTATTTATGTCTCTGCATAGGGACTGCGACTATTTGGAAAGCCAAGTGGGAATATCTCCTAACTCTAAAATGCAATTTGTAATCATTTATTTCAATTTCACGACAGAATTCACCTTTGACAAGCTCAACAGCATGTCAAAGGTATCACTTACCTAGCAACAACTTACGCATACACACTGACAACTAACCCCAAAATCAATCCCCCTTGAAAGTTGGAATAGTTGAATAAGATATTTTGTAAATATTATTGATATATAGTTCTCAATGGGAATGCATTATGAAATACTTCATAAGAAATAAATTATTTTGTATGGGTTATAGGACACAAACATTTTAATGCCGGTGAGAGTAGTGGTAGCATTGTAAGGAATTAATGGAAATATTATAAAACCTGATATGCCTCCAGTAAACAGATTGTAATTGGGTTGATACCCCATGATCACGGTCTCTTGGTAGCAGATATTGGTGAAGTAGATGCAGCAATTGCAACCTTCATGAATTGTTGGCTAACATGAACCAGGCTTATGTTTAATGTTCAGCCCAAAATGTAGCAGTGACTCATGTATGTTGTGACTCAGCCGCTTCAGGGCACAATGTTAATGGATATTTCTTGGGTATTTTCATCGGTATATTAGGCCTGTTTTCATCAGCTCCAGTTTGCCAAATAACCCGCTATTTTAATCATCCCGATCCAAATTATCCAGCTAATTTGCGTCTTCATCAGCCCGCAGTTGCAATTAGCGGGATATTTGGTCAAGATAATCATCCCAAGATATCTTGGACTAGTTTGCAAAATATCCCGATCTTTGGCAAAATATCCCGCTATTTGTTTGGTCCGTCTTCACCAGCCCAAAGACTCACACTCAGCGCAAACGCTGAGCAAAATATCTTGAGCTAATTTCTCCAGTTTCGAGTTCAAGTTTTGAGCTGATGAAGATGCGATTTGTAACTTCGGGCTTATTTCCAAAATCAAAAATACCAGGCTATTCGGCAATCTCGAGCTGATGAAGACAGGCCTAGTGTTTGTGTATATCTCTTGGGTATCGTCATGGGTATATTGAGGATCAAATATGATTGGCCTTGCCTGTTAGTGTTAACCTTGAATAAGATTCATTTTTAGGAAGGTCAGATATTTTCATGTCTGGCTTGCTTCCACTGACACTGTCTGAGCTCTTATGTTGCCTGTTCCATATACTAGTAATTTGGAGTTGATGAAATAGGAGTAATTGAAATGAGATATTACTTTTGTATTGAGCTATTTGTTGAGCCATGTAAAGTATGTACCATTGCCAAATTAATACTTCATTGATATTTTTCCCCCTAAATATTGTAGTAGGCACATTGAATTGAAGCAAAGTGATTTCAGTATTTTTTTTTGTTAATAATGGCACATAGCATTACATGTAGGCGAATACAAAATTCACCTTATTTATATTATCGTTATTATTATTATGTTCAATTAGTGAATGATGGATTTACGCCTTGATTTTAACTTGATTTTTTCCATTTCTTTCTTGTCATTTCATCTCTCCCTCATTTTCTTGTCCTATCCCACCCTCTCTCCATCTCCCTCCCTCCCTCCCTCTCTTCCCCCTCTCTCTCTTCTCCATCTCTCCCCCCTCTTCCCCTCTCTCTCTCTCTCCTATCCAGTTCATGAAATGGTGGATAATCCATTCGAGACCAAGTCCGACAGCTTCTACTTCGTCGACAACAGGCTGATCATGCACAACAAGGCCGACTATGCCTACAACGGCGGCATCGGGGCAATGTGATCCTACATGTACACCAGTCTTTTTACCTTGTGTGTTCATCATCCCTTCTCATGTGTGAATAGCTGTACAGACGATCATAGGAGCCAGGTGAAAATAGGGTCACCAGTCTATGTCACCATCAATCACTACACATTTGAAATTGTTACCAGTCTACCAATCTCCATGGCAAAATGTTCTCTTTTCTCATGTGTGAATAGCTGTACAGACGATCATAGGAGCCAGGTGAAAATAGGGTCACCAGTCTATGTCACAATCAATCAATACACAGTTGAATTTGTTACCAATCTACCAGTCTTCATAATAGTTGTTCTTGCTTCTCATGTGTGAATAGCTGTACACATGAACATAAGAGCTATATGAAGAATTGGTCACCAGTCTCTTCACAGTTGAAATGAAATTAGGTACCAGATTTTCCTTACATACAATGTGTATCTAATATGTATTTTGTATATAAGATTATGAAGAAAATCAATGAAATTATATATTACCTTAAAATTCACTGTATTCACCCCCCTCCCACCAGAAAAAGCAAACGTACCTCATCTTGGAAAGCGAGAAGAGATTTACATCCCTCTAAATCACCTTATCAATATCCAGTAACAGTATAAGCCCACTCTGAGACATGATTATAGACCAGTCTGTATTAAGGCTTACATTGGACTTTGTATAGTGTTGTAGATAAATAAGGTTGCTCTATTTGATCTCAAATGATATACATTTTTCCTGGCAAAGAAAATTTTCAGAGACCGATTTTGAAAGTGATAATTCCAGTTGTGATATTTTGTTCTGCGGCACATGAATGGTTAATGTTTCTCCTCCTTTAGCCCCGTTTTTTGCTTGATTACATTCCATGTACTGACTGTATTTAACTTTTGCTAGGAGCATTGGAAAAATGTCCTGTGGTCATTTTCCTCAGTACATAGCGTTTTGTTCTTGGTGGATTTATGATGGGATAGACTGATTGGACAGTACACCAGTCTCTCAACAAGATATTTATCATTTCTCATGCGTGTATAACCATCAATTCAGGCAGGGAGGCTTCTGAGAAGACATTGCCTACCAGTCTTCAGAATGGTGTTATGACATGTTTCTTTGAACAGTACAAGCATAGTGCTGAACAGCTTCTAGACGTAAAACACGCACACACCAACTTCATTGTCCATGGGTTTTAATTATCAACATCTAATTGCAGAATTTGGGAAAAGGCGTTGTTCTTAATTTACCTCATGATTTGCTCAAATCTTGAATTTCCTGCTGTGTTTCTTCAAGGGTAAAAAAAAAAAGAAAACTGAAAAGAAAAATCATTCTTAGACTGAGGTGAGCAAGAAATTGTGTCCTGTATTTTCATCATGGCTCCATCGTTGATCATCAAAAGAATAGAACAGAATATATTTTCATGATTGTAATGTACTATTGACAGGTAGATAGAATGGAGGATTATGGGAAGGTTAGTTTTACAGTACTGTTTTGATAGACAAATCGTCCATAGTTTCTCTCTCTTTAACCAGTATTTGTTATTTTCACAGGTTTGTAGTATTTTTTTTAAATTAAAGAATTGGACATAATTGATTTTGGAAGTGTGTATAAAATTTGCTTTTTTTCCCCCGTCTCTCCTGGAAATTGACTGATATTCTTTTGTAAATACAGATATTATCGTAGGAGGAAGGGAGATTTACTTAGTAGGTTTGTTTTAATAGCTGAGTTATATCTATTTAGAGAATTGTTTTTATTCCAACGTAATTTCATCGTAATCATTCCTAAATGACCAAGGGGTACTATTATTCTATGAGCTCGACCAATTATATGCATGATGGGGCTTTTCGAATTTCTTCCCTGAAACAGAAAAACAAAACTTATCAACACACTTTACTGCCAAGTTAGTTACTGGGTATTACAAAAATAAATATTGAACTACATATCAAGTCAAATCTACTTTAAGATGCTTTTCTATTAGATACATGGATGACTGTTTATTTCATATTGATTGCACCTTCAATGAATTTCATTGTTTACGCCACCCTATCTGCCAAATAAACTACCGGTATAGGAGAAGGAATGTGATCATACCTTTTAAAACTGTATTTAAAAAAATGAAAAGGTATGATCATCTGATCTTTTCAATTGAATGTGTACATAGGAGATTATACATATGATTCATTTTTTATCACCTATTTAAAGACACCATTACATGTTTCATTAGACGTGTTATGTGTAATCTTGTGTGCGAAGATGATTGCAACATGCGTATGGTGTAGGTGAGATGTAGTCTAGTTTTCTTCTGTGTGTGGTGCATCTTTAAACGGCCTTGTTTCTCTCTTTAGATTGTATTTTTGTGCATTTATGGCACACATTGGAGTGAAATCATTTACATTTCAATTTAGAATGGAGATCGCGACAAGTTTTTGTAGTGCAGGGATCCTTATAGGAGAATATTCACTGCCCCTTATCTAATATCGGATTATGTCTAGGAAAGGCACAAGAAAAACATGCCACAATTTTCTATTTTTCAAGGTTTAAGAAAAAAACTTTTGAGGAAATATTTGAAAGACCGGTTCACATAATATGTAATCAAAGTTATGGGTTTTTCTATATAAAGACCCGTCATGAAATATTGCAGTTATCTGTTACAATTTATAAAACTGCAAGTTGCATACACTAGCCTTTGCTGTGTCGGGCAAGCTTCTGGCAAACTTTAGGGTCGCCAGTAGTAATATTTATAGTAGAGGTATCTATAGATTTTCAATACAAATGTGATTTTGACAATTGTTCAATATTTCAACAACAAAAAAGATCTTAAAGAGAAGGTTGAGTACTGGTAAAAAAAAAGAAAATTATTTCTCACAGAATCAAACGAAACTTACACTGAATGTTCAAGATTACAAATAAATGACATGTGCCAAACAATTTTGGAAGAAAATGTATACTGGCTGAGTAATGAGCATAGAAAGACAAGGAATCAAGGTAGTACCAACCCCGACACCATGCGTGTTGTCCCATACATAGCTTTCTGTGTATGTGCTTGTTACTTTACCAAGACTCGGTCAAATTTATTATGATTTTGATGACTCTAGAACCTTGCAGTGCACACCAATACTTACATGCTACATGATCAACTGTTTCTGATCCTTTCCACACCTTTTCTTTCACAATGCAATCGCATTACCAGTACTAAAGTTTATCTTTAATCTTAACTTCTATCGTCTTGATGCCCTGGATAGAGAAAGGGCAGTTTACTAAAAATGCACTATGGAGAAAACTAATGATATATTGGGCTGTTCACCATCACAAAATAGTTCTAGTCTTTGAAGATGTACATTGGGTTGTTTAGTAGTACATGTGTGTATCATTATTATTTATATTCAAATTACAAAGAAAAAAAAATCTATTTGTGTGATGCCATATCATAGTTAAATTCAAATATAGTATTGTCTTGTCTAAAAGCTATTGCTAACTTGTCTTTCATATTCATGTACGAAAGAAAGGAGAAGAAGGAGAAGGGAATAGAAGGTAGAGAAATCAATGTTTTATACCGTCCACTGTATCGTCGTCCTATGTAGTACTATGATAAACATTTATTTACCATGGATTTCCATTCGTTTGTTTGTTTTATAATTGAAGCTAGTACTGTTGTGTAATTTGTGCATTGTTTTATTATGAAGAAGATTTTCAGCATTGACCACAGAATGCTTGAGCGCCTTATCATCAAGTTTGCTCGGCTATAAAGCCAGGGTAATCGTACGATTGCAGGGCCCTCGGGTGGGGTGGGGGGGGGGGGTGAACAGTACTAATACTGATGAGGCTTTCCGTGGTAAAGAAGACATATTATTATTGTTTATTATTATATCATGAAATAGCAAAATATCGAAAGTTAACTGATTTCCTTTTTTTTCATTACAACCATTCCATCTCTAGATTGTTTTTTCTCTCTTCCCTACCCGATTTAGGATTAAGGTAATCGAACATATATAGCTAGAAAGAAGAAGGCAAGAAAACTAAAGCAGAAATGAAGGAAAAAGAAGAAAAGACGGGGAACAATTAGGGATAGTAGAACATCAAGCACAAACAGAAAATATCGAAAACAGAAAGGAGAGGTTGCATCATTTTCTCAATATCATTTGGAGAGCTTTGAATGTATGCTATTTCAAAAATAGACATACAATTCGAAAGTTTATCATTCTGTGGTCAATGTTGTATTTTCCATCAAAATTGTTTCTTGTTGTTTTGTATTCATGTATTTTATTCCTATATTCTATGTGTACTAACGTGTCATTGTGTATCTCATTTAAGTTGAAGAAACAGGGAACAGAAAAGCTGTACTAAGTCATCAGGATTATTGGACAACCGCAGTAAGCAAGTACAGAGTTTATGATATAGTACTAAAACACCAGAAACTAACAATTACTGCGTCACACCTGATCGATGTTTCAGCGTTATTCATTTTTTTTTCTTATCTACTGTAAATCTGAGCACTTTCTGGAAAACAAACAAACTAGCGGTATTGCTATGTATGCTTCAACATGTCTCCATTCATTGCACATGTATTCCTTTAAATGTATTCCTATTCTTGTATTCCTTGCTATGTCTTCTTTAAGGTCTTGAGAGGGTATATTTGTAAGAGACCAAATGAAAGTATACTGAATGAGAAAGCAGATTATTGTATTATCATCGGTTATGTTGTTGGAATTAGGAGATAAGATTTCCATGTTTGGGCAGACTTATTTACCTGAATTGCAAACATTGTGACAAATTTTCATCCACTTTCAGGACTTTAAGTCACTGTATTAAGGATTCTTTGTATTGATTTAGTAAAGTACTTCATCTTGACAAAATGCATTGATGTTTGCGAGAGCTATTCCGCATGAGCTTAACATGAGTGTCAATCCGACAATTCTGTATTGTATTCTGATAAATCTTGTCTATTTTCTCCAATATAGTCTGAAATTTGCCATATTTTCAATTCCTTTAAAGCAAGCTTTGAATAGCTTAGTGATTCGTTATAGGATCGATAAACGATGTGGTATTTTTTAGCACAAATGTTAAGTGATGTGTGGTGTCAGGTTTGGAGTAAGCAATAGGCATCGGTGTTAAAGTAAAACCAACATATTCTCAACACGGAGTGGTGATTATCCCGTAGCATGTGTTTGCATAGTCCTAGAAAATTGTACTCTTTGAAAACACACAAATACAGTTTGAAGGCTCTTCTTGATTCTTTAACACCAATACCTTATCCCTGTTAGCACCAAACTTAACACTGCCTCATTTAATGAGATTTAATAGCAATCTAGTTAAGTGTTTGAGTGGTGTTTGCACTGCAATGTATGTTCACTTTGTATGCATAAGACATTTTTACAGACCGTCTTTGCTATTGCCGTTACAGCCATGTATTGTCGATGGCAACCACGCCTTTCTTAATTGCACACAGCCGACAATATAAATGTATATATGTAACACACAAACCTTGCTGCTTTTTATTTTAGTGATTTGCCTATGTAATAACAAAACTATAAAAAGCTAATTCAAGTGCCTAAACCAGATGCTTTATGTAATCATTACGGTAGTCTATTATTTTCTCTTTGCAGACCTGTTTTTTCTTCATTCATGTGTGTAAAAAGGGCAAAATATGAACCATCTTGTGAAAAATCTGTTGTTAATAGTTACCAGTCCCATAGCACAAGATAAATACCATTTAAAAATATGTAATGAAGATAGATACAATAATATACCTTTAATATGTGACCTAGCTAACAATCGAAATGAGTGAGATGACGGGGCTAATAATTATATTATAATTATTGATTAATAATAATTAACGGCTACACAACACAGTACATACCAGTAATAGCCTCAAGAAAGCATCATTGACATTGCCAGTAGTTTTATTTACAAATCAATGTTGCTCTACTTTTGTGCAGACACCATTTCGATTTCCAGGAAAGTTTGTGTAATATGAAATTAAATTTGTAAATGATGTCTATGCTACATGTACTGATTTTCTTTAGAATAGAGAATTTGTGTGAGCTTTGTGTATTCGTTAATGAACAGTACCACACAATCACAGTGTATTCTAGGTTGGAAATAGATGGACATACCAGAGAAATGAAATTTAGAATTGATAAAATGAATGTAGTTCTGCTTTTAAAATAATCTACTTATTGAGTTTTTTTTAAATCACCTTGATGAGCATATGTGTGCATTAATATTTTCCTGCATGTTTACAACTAATTGTGAATTATTTTGAAAATTATAGTGAAATGTTTGAACGATAGAGAATGGCTTGGTGATGGTATATGCAATAGGTTACCGTACTTGAATGGATGACACCGATTTCAGTCTTTTACGGGAGTGGAAAATTAGAGTGAAATTTTGCAAAAGTTGCAACATTATAAACTGTTTGCAAGGACCCCACATACATACATGTCTTCACAAAAACTTGCAGTGGTGATAAGTATCAACTTACATTTCTGTGTGGTATCTATTCCACTAACAATTTTGTGATTGAAGGTTTTTAGGTTTAACCAATGTTGAAGTCTGCTTTTAATATCTCACATTATTAGACCGTTCACGTATGCACAAAACCTTGCAGTGATGAAAAGTAAATGCAAATCTGCCATTCAGCAAGTTGTATCTCATTTCATAATTTTTGTGGTAAGGGGTTATCGAGTCACAATAAAATATCTATGAGTTAGCGCTCGTGTGGTCTAATTCAAGCGTTTTTATCCTAAATTGTCTGTTTCTGTACAGGAGGAATTGATGAAAATGAAATGGCTCAATCTCCATTCAATATGTTTTCTTCACAATGTTATAACACAATGTGCTGCATGTTGATTGTGTTTTCTATGAACTATGTACCACTAGTCTTGATTCAGACCATGTAGAAAAGAAGAAATAATTCTGCACACTTCGATTAGAGACTAACCAAATGAATTTTACTTGTTTTGTGTGGATAAAAAAGATGTAACATTGTAATTAAATCAAATTGTGACTATTTTTGCCTACTTTTTTTCTTTCTTTTTAGTGTTGGATAGTAATCTGTTGTTGATTTTCATAAATGTGATTTTTTAACGGACATAAGATATTCGATGTAACATATTTCATTGAAGGATAATAAAGGTTCTTCTTATGTCATGCTATAACATTGTTATTCTTATTCATGTTTGTGTAAGTCGCAACTACAGTCTATACATTGTTTTTCATTCTTTCTCATCAGACTTTCTTTTCAAAAGTGTTTAGTATCAAGTGGATGTGAGAGGAAGATGAAGAGGGTGAGAGAGAACAAAAAAGGCAAGAGAGGAAGTGAAAGAGAGAGAGAGAGAGAGAAATGGAAAGAGTGAATAAATTCATGACACACCTTCGAACGATGATTCTATACCGGTAGTCGGTATCCAAAACTAAACAATTATTGCCCAGCTTTATCATGGCTGCCATTAAGGCGCTCTAGCATTTTAAGGAATCAATTCCTGCCAGGTACCCATTTACCCCACCTGGGTCGAGTGTGGCATATGTAGATTAGTGTCTTGCCAAAGGACGTTAGCAGAGCTGCCAACCAGTACGATTTAATCATATTTTGTACGATTTTCCTAAATAAAATATGATTTTCCAAAACAAAAAAATGCCCATATCCTACAAGTATCTCACATTTCCAATTCGGGGATGTTTATTGGTTTATCGAACACACCAGTCACAACGAAATTGTGCATATTCAACCAATGATCCATAAACAAAATTTCTTCCTGTATGAAGAAACTATAAGAGGCATTGATCCTTTTTTTTTAAACACAATTTTTGTCAGTAAAAGAATATGGTTTTTGAACTCAAGACGTTGGTAGGTCTGCATTAATGCTTCAATAGGATTTGAACCCTGCATGTAGCTTGTGGTTCACAATCCAGAGACTTATCCACTAGACTGCACCCCTCTACCCGAACCAAACATTAATCTCAATTGGACCCTGACTCTTGATGAATTATATCTTGAAGCAATTGCGGCCCGAGCACCAAGAGAACGTGAAAGATAAAAGGAAAGGGTAGAAAATATGTACAAGTAATTAAGAGAACATGACACAAATGGAATTATGAATTGACAAATTCAAATAATGTTTAAGTAGTGACCACATTTCCTTTTATTATTGCACAAATTAGTATTCAATATTAAAACATATATAAATAATAACTTAACTTTGTACTAATACTGCAAGAAAATTTTGCTATTCATGTAATAAGTGATTGTAAAGAGCAAATACACACAATACGAGACCCTTTTATCTCTACATACACGGACATGTAACTCAGGTACGACTGAATTAGCTTTAACCATTACTATACCTTTGAGCACTACTAAAGCTCCCAAATTCTACTTTTGCATTTTGTTGAGAAATTCACAATCATTTACGTGATCATACATGCTCGATTTGGGGAACTGTTGGGGCTTTCAGATTACAGAGGATGTCAGGGAACATAGTTTTAAAGCTAAAGAGGGAAAAGAAATAAGAAGCTCTCTCCGGGCTATGCAGTTTCAAAAAAGCCCTGGCTATATAGGGTTAAGTGGGGTCTAAGGAAACCCAAGGTGTACCTACTAATGTCGTTTTGACAATGGAAGCACTTTCAGTAACAAATAAATTAACATTTATTAGCTAAGAAATATACAATACATGTACATGATAATCTCAAACATATAATTATATTCCTAATGAAACTTAAATCAAGTTTATATTTTCCCTACTTTGATCATTAACAGTGAGGATTAGTAAATTGATTGTTATTTATGGAGTGCAACTTGAGATTTTGGTAACCGTAAAATATAACTTACATGTTGTACATTAACCTGTATTTTTCCTTTTGATTCACCAAATAGTTAGTTCACCAAATATACAACCTTAAGAATACTATGCATCAAATATCATTATCTTATAATACTTAACAATTCACTTACAAATATCATTCAAAAAACTATTCACTAAAATTGGGTTTAAGTACAATGTGCTCTAATTTATAGATTTTAAGGAGCTATGCGGTTGGGGGATTCAGTTATTATTTTTTGGGGGGTCATTATGCAACCTACTTCAGCAAATAACAATGAAATTGAAAAAACTATCCAGAAAGATTTTAATACAATTCCTATGTTTTTACATTTTACATGTACCATATACGGTAGACATTACAAATGAGAACATTTACAAATGCATGTAGAAAATGAGACATATGAAGGGTTGATGCCAAATATTATAAGCTCTACATCAACCCTAACTTTGCAGCAGACTTCACGAACTGACATCATACTGAACAAAACTCTTGATTCTTTTGTTAGTAGTTCTGTGGTACTTTAAAGTTGCTCATGCATTGGTATATAGAGGGCAGCACACGGACGGACGTACGCACAGGAGCGTAATACCCGTTGGCTCAGTGTTTAATATGTAGTGATCGCCAAGTTGCCTACTTCATGAATGACTATATACCCATGCAGAACATCTTTAACAAACTGCATCATCCATTTACGAAAGATATCTCTATATCTTCCTCTACTTCAATATTCTTCTTTCAGTCTTTCTGGCAGACATATCTCCTCCACCCTATATTTTCTCGTCACATATCCCAAGACATGTGATGATGGTTATTTTACTTGACTGCTAAACAAGCATAAATGCTTGTAAGTAAGCAACCAGACGGCCGATGGCTTTAGGTCCTCTCTGAGGGACCTGGTAATGGGATTAATGCCTTACCAAAGAACACTAGCGCATCGACTTTGTTTCGAACCCGGTCACCAGATTACAAGACCACTGATCTACCGACTGAGCTATCACGCCTCCTGTGATATCACAGGAAAGCTTCTCTAAGGAGATGCTGAAAGGGATCATCATTTCATTTTATTTCATCAAGACTGCCTCATGTCTAGCCAAGATCTGGTTCATCAGATTCCTGCTCAAATTCCATTTCAGTGGGGCGTTTCACAAAACTTGTCATCAGTGACAAATGACAGTTTTTGTTATAAGCTACTGAAATCCTTGCTTCTGATTGGTTATCGGCAGATTTGTCACTGATTTTTGTGATTTGGTCATTGAAAAAAGGCTTTGTGAAACGGGCACCTGGTCTCTTCCACACATTTAACCTCTAAAGCATCATTACACATGGCCTCTGACATGGGTACAAACAACTATTGACAAATTGAGGAGCGTTTGATACCTTTCCTTACAGGTTCTGTCTGGACAACATCTAAAGCTCCTAGACATTCTAATCTAAGCAAGCCTTACATAGTTTGCTACATGAGTACACTTTAATGGCTGAAGGGGTTAGGGCATCAGATATCTCATCCAAAATGCTTCCTTCCACACATCGTCAAAAGCTTTTATGACTTTAGAATCTGTAGAATCCATGTGATGTCAGCTTCAAGAGAACAACTGCTGGGGGGCGTTTCACAAAAATCCAAAGTTAAACTTTTCTCTATTAAGTTGGACTTCAAAATTATGGAAAGCCGTTGGCATCTATGAAAATGTTTTTTCAAAGTTATTTTAAAAGGCATAAAATGTTGATTCAAATCATTCATATTTTCTATTATGAAGGAGATTTCATGTTCTTGGTGTGGAATTTATAAAACGTCTAAAATACTTGAATTTTTGCTTTTGAATATATTTTATTTTAAGGCTACAAATGTCTCTCCATAATATTTAAGTTCAACTTAGATTTAAGTTTGACCTGGGATCTTTGTGAAACACCCCCCTGGTTTAAGGGGCAAGGGCACTTGATACGTAAATTGTATCTGCTAAGATTTTGTCCATACATCACACACAATTCTAGACATCCTGCGGCATCATCACATGGTCTTGTTTCATGGGTGAAATATCTTTCCTTGGGAAGATTCCCTCCATACGTGACCAAGGTCTTTGACACTTTGAAGAATCCTTACGCTGTCGGCTGCATGTGAGCAACTGCAGGTTGAAGGGACAAGGGGCATTTGATACCTCTCCTGGTGACAGTTGTTCAACACATCTTCAACAGTGCTAGATGTTCTACATTAGTACTTACACATACAGCTTCATGGGTATGAATAGCCATTAAAGGGACAGGGATACTCGGTCCTCACAGGTTCCTTCCCTACATCATCTGATGATCTAGATACAACTCTTGAGACATTCTACGGAAGCCTCACACTGTCAGCTTCATGTGTACAACTACTGGTTGAAAGGGTAAGGGCATACATCTAGACACTGTATAAACTCCTTTTTGCTGTTGGTGTAATGGGTACAACAACCTGCCGAAAGAATGAAGGCTTTTGATACCTTCAATCCATCACCTGCAGTTCTAGACATTTTATAAAATCCTTAAACTGTTGCCATCATTTGAATGTGCAAAGGTATTTGGTACCCATCCACACGGATCCTTTCACGCATCATCTATAGAGCTCTAGACATTCTACAAAATCCTTATGCTATTGGTTTCATGGGTACAACGACCGGCTGAAGGGGCAAGGGCAAGTCCTTGTTGTCCTCCTGAGTGATATCATCGTCCAGTCTCGGAACCTTGAACCTCTTGACCACCAGAGGCTTACTGGTTAGTACCTCCTGGACCCTGTCCACCACGCCGTCCCTCCAGGCGGTCAGCTCCTTCTGCAGGTCCAGGGCATTCTCCATCAGGCTGTCCTGTCGGATGCGAAGGTCCTCCAGGGCTGAGAGGTTGGCGTACATCATGCGCAGGCCCTCGCAGATGGGTTCCGTGTTGCGCTCGCTGCCCGGTGGCACGGCACGGCCAGACATGTAGTCGTCGTACTCCTCTTGGGTAAGGGAGAGCGACTGGGCATCAAGGTTCTCGATGAAAGATATAGCGCAGCACTGGAGGAAAAGAAGGTGAAAGAAAAAAATTGTTGAAGAATATATGAGAGATCCAATAGTGATGCATTTTACATGGGAAGTGAAACATTAGCGGTTTTACCAATAATCATTCAAGTTTATAAAGTCATAAACAATGTCAAACTGCTAAAATTAGAAGGGCTATAGAGTAAAAATGAGGATATACCACATTTGTCTAATTTTACTTAAGATTACCATCTTCTGATATTTTTAAAATGTAAGGTCATGAGTAGTAAAAAATCTTACTTTCTGTTATCCTCAACATCAAAATCAAAGTATCCTTTACTTTATGTATCATCATAGTAATATCTTGCATCACACAACATCCCACTATCAATCATGAAGTAGGTATCCATTTGATCAGCGCTATCATTATACCACCACCACCACCACCACCACCACCACCACCACCACCACTACCACCACCACCACTACCACCATCATGACCATGACTACCACCACCACCACCACCACCATTGCCACCACTACTACCACCAACACAACCACCACCACCACTGCCACCAACACCTCCACTGCCACTGCCACCACCACCACCACCACCACCGCCACCAACACCTCCACTGCCACTGCCACCACCACCACCACCACCACCACCACCACCACCACCACCACTGCCACCATCACCACCACCATCAAAACAACCGCTCCTCACCAGATTAGTGAAGTAGTAGCCCGTTTCTCCCTGCATCAGTCTGTTGGGATTGGCAAACCTGGAGACGTACTGGATGTTGGAGTGCAGCTGCGGAGGGTTGGCCTTGAGGACCATGTAGATCAGGACCGGTAGATAGTCATCAGCGCTAGCCGGTGCACCCTGGGACTGGTGAACCATCTGGAAGATAAGCTTGCTGGTCCGTACGATGCAGCACAGCTTGTCGATCGGCGCCCTCTTGCTGTTCATGTCGATCAGCTCTGTAGGGCAATCATTTGAATAGAGTTGATGAAACAAATCCATTTTTAAAGGCATCGTTTAACAATGTTAACACAATCTTTTCTGGGATCAAACTTCTCAACGGTGGGATCATGGAATATTATACGACAAGTAACCTGTAACCTGTAACCTGTAGTGGCGCATATTCATGAAAGTTTCTGTGCTATGAAATCGATGAATTAACTCTGAAATTGTGTAATTCACAAAATTCTCTAGCTGCAGAAAAAAAACAGCCATCATTTAGTGCCATGTCACAAACGTTGAAGCTTTCATTATATAGATACAGTCAAACCTGCTTTAGTGACCACCTGTATAGAAAGACCATCTGTCTACACAGATATTTTTTGTTTCCCTAGAAAATGGTTTCTTGTTGAAACATGTACTAATAGAACCTGTAGATAAGGACCACCTGCCTATAAAGACCATTTTTCTTGTCTCCCTGAAGTGGTCTTTATAGACAGGTTTCACTGTATATTGACTGCTACATGTATGAGAGGCATTACAGTTTTTATAGGCTCAAGGGGACATTACATCCTGCTATGACCCTAGACGCACCAGGGTATTATAACCCCCTGAAACCCACCTTCCTGAGCCTTCTCTATCAGCCTCTCCACATTCGTATTATCCTCGTTGAGGGCAGCATCCAGCATGGAGGGCATGACCCAGCGCAGACGACGGATCCGGTTCTGGATGGCCAGGTCCTTCTGTTCATCGTCGGACAGCGGAGGGCAGAAGAGGTCGCGGTAGAGCCGCGTCATGATGACCTTCTCAAGGTGGTCCATCATGGTGGAACACTGCTCCGAGGTCGTACCTGAGAAAAAGATTTAAAAATTGTAGCAGGTTGAAAACTGAAATTCTGTTCGTTACTTTGAAGTCCCACCCAGGCGGATGACTGAAGCCTGCATTGTGTGCTAACGTGCCCCTCCTCTTGTTTCATAGACGCAGGCTATGTTCAGTGGAAAACACTCTGTCCCTCGGACAGGACGTTAAATGGAGGCCTGTGTAGAGGAGAGTCACCACCTTTGCACGTTAAGAACCCACTGCACTATTCGTATAAGAGTAGGGGAAAACTCGGTGTACATGTAGGGGTCTACCTGCACACACCAGTATATACATCTGCAAGAATTTTCAGCATTGAAGGAGGCTGATTATCCAGAAGAAAAAGAAAAAAAAATCAAATTATCTTGTTTTGAGATTGTATGCATTAGAAATCACCCCTTCATAGAACTAACATTATTTAATGATGGCTCTTTTTTCATTTATAGAGGCTATATTTAAGACTTCAAAGACTCAAAGTGATTTGCCGCAGTAAACTGCCATTTCTTTTTTTATGGCATACATGTAATACATCACATTTCTGTATCTTATAACATAGAGCCCAGTGAATACGCGGAGAACCTTTATTGCCCGCATTTTGCCATAATTTACACATTATTATAAAATGCTGTGGTTTACTGATGCATGGAGGACTGGAAGACATGGAAGACATATTTTTTTGGTAAAGATGGGTACATTTTAACAACATCAAATACATAAAACACATTCAGAAAACACACAAATACCAAGTTCAAGTTTCTCTTTTAACACTTTAAACAATATCTTTAAAAGTATGCAACTTTTCAATGCTTTCAAAATCAGTTTAAGATAATTCAACCACTTTCATTTTTTAATCAGAATAGTTGAGAAGTATCTTTAAACATATAAAGAGAAAGGAAAGGGCCTCTTGTATAATGCATACTTCCTTCAAAAGATAATTATCTTTGAGGAAAACAGAACAAAGTATTATATTCAAGAAGAAAAATATTAGTAACATTGAAATTCTCAAGTAGTATTGAAGTGGAAATATAGTTTTGAAAAGGGTATTGTAGACGGGGTGAAGTAGAATACCGGTAAGGAAATAAAAATTTAATTTCCCCACAGGTCTGTGGTGACAATCATCATGATGGCATGTTCATATATATATAACACATTTATATGTACAGTCTGCATTGCAATGTTGCCGTAGCTAAGAATTCTAGTATGATGTATGATTAATTACTGCCATCTTTGAAACAACATGAATTTGAATAAAAATAATCACTGATACTCTTTGCATATGTCAGGTGGACTACCATTGCACTGATACATGTATAATGCTACTATATTATTGTAGCTCAGATCACAGAAGATCGTTACATCAGCTAAAAAATAAGATCAGGTCTCAATGATTCTTGAAATGTATTGTATGCTATGATAGAAATAACTGTCACATTCTCAAAGATTTACCAGTAGTTAATGTTCTGTTTTTTAATTTCTACCCATACGTAGTACTTTTGTCTCAAATACCACACTACTAGATTGACTCCACACCATTAAACACTAAACGCAACAATTCTTGGCTGCTAAAGGGAATGCAATGTTTTATTCCGCCTGTTGTAGGTCCTGTCAGTGATATACAGTGTATGTACATTTTCTTACAAGAATCTAGCAGACATCTACCAACAGAAAAGCACAATCAAATTTATAATGATTTTCAAGCTTTAAAGCTGTCTACAATGTAATTTCTCTTCTGTTTTGTAAAGCCTTGTGCATGATGCTTTTCAATACATATATTTTTTAAAAATCTAATTAAATTTTTTATTTTATATAGCTGACATAAAAGGCCGTATTTTGTAGATCTAGTGAAGTCCCACAATTTAATTTTTCTTACCAAGACACTATTAATTCTATTCTCTCTACATTGCTTTTGTCTTTATTTGTTGTGGTTTCTTGTATAAATGACATCACAGACATGACACACACTCATCTAGCCTTGTGGACATGATGCGACTCATCTGAAGGTGTGCGACACTATAGTGTATGATTCATGGTCATGGGATGATTACTGTGCATATCTATACAGGATGTCTTTGAATAGTGGAGATGTAGACTCAATGATAACACGGAGAGACAAGTGCAAGGTAGTCTATTATCAACATGAAGATGTTTATGAGGAAATGAGGTTAGGGGGGGGGGGGGGGGTCATTCTCCCGAGTGGTACAATTAGTATGTTTTTTTTTCGGGGGGGGGGGGGGGGGGGGGGGGTTACCCTCCTTAGTGGTACGATTATTATGTGTTTATTTTAGGTTTTTTTTTGTTGGGAAGGGGGGGGGGGGTAATTCTCCTTAGTGGTAAGGTTATTACCAGTATGAACCTCTTTTAAGGGAAGTCTACATATTCACATTGTCAGGGTTAATCTGTCCTGCCATGCTCAGCCATATCGTCGGCTGGGTGGCAGAAGGGCGTAAGCACGCGAGCGACTTGATAACTACTTCTTGAATTATTCGCATTTAAAGATTTGTTTTATATTTAAACTGCTTTCCGTCCCGAAAATTGGTTCAAATCAAAAAAGACTAATAGAAATGTTGTAGTAGAACACGGCCACAATTTTTTCTCTCGGAAATAAGTCAGTTTTATAAAAGTTTGAGGCGATTTAGTGCTAACGCCCTTCTGCTTAAAGTTTCATAATTGACCTGAAATTTGAGCTAACGCCCTTCTGCCAGCCAGGCGACGATATATGGGCACTATTACAGGTCATGATACAGGGGCTGTGCATGCCACAGGCAGAGGAACCATGCACCAGCTATCCCTTTCCGTCAATATGATGCGCTACAAGTAATGACTGCACCTAACTCTGGATGTACGGGTTCATTCCGGGCCATTCTTTGATAAACAAAAGGGATGTTTTGACAACAATTTCAAGCATATTAATCATATGAAACATACAAATTCAGATGTGCTTCGGGCAATATTTTGGGTAATCATAAAGTACCAATACATTGCTATATTAATCATGGATCATTTGAAGTGAGTCACCATCATGGACACTGAGCACATGGGGGCACAGAGCTGTTTTGTAAGACTTGAAGAATGACTATTAGTCACCTACTCCTTCCCCAAGTGAAAACTTACTTGATATGACCACCGCCATTAAATAATGCTTTGGGAATTTTGGCATTGCTATAATGCAGGTGATAATGAGGAACAAAAAAAACACGCCCCCTTTGAGTAAAAAAAAAAAAAAATGGAATCTAACAACATCCCCCCCCCCCCCCCCTCCTTTTGAGTATGAATATATGGGGAAAATCGGTGAAAAATTTTGGAAAATAAGGGGAAATAGGGAAAAATAGGGAAAAATAGGGAAAAATAGGGAAAAATAGGGAAAAATAGGGGAAAATAGGGGAAAATAGGGGAAAATAGGAGGAAATAGGGAAAAATAGAGAAAATCAAGGAAAAATCAGGAAAATCTGGATAAAATCGTGAAGGAAAAAAAAAAAATTGGTGGAAAAAAAAAATTGGGAAAAAATAAAAAAATGAGGTAATTATCAGGCCTGTATAATGACTGCAATATAATCTTGTGTATATACGTTATACTTGTCAAAGTCGGTAAGCTAGGGAATGTCAAAATAACAAGTTTTTGAAAAGACGGAATCACCTTTAGTGTCAAATTTAATATTGTTGAAACATGTAACATACCATAACTTCACCCAGACAAAACAAATAATCATGATAATGATGATGATCCGTGGTGATGATGATGATAATGATCACGAAACATGATATAATTCACTTTTTGGCATAATGTCTATTAAATGTCAATTTCAGTGTGTTCCGTTTCACTTTAATATCACAAGATAAAGGTCAAGTACATTAGAAAGATTAAAAGAAAACACAAAACAAAACAAAACAAAAACCCTAAACTATACACCTTCGTACTTGTAATTCACTCATTTTGGCAGAATAAAATTTAGCAAATTTATTTATTTGGACCTCTTGCATATTTGATCATCACGTATAAATATGTATAACAATGCACACAATTTTTCTGGTTTTACAATATATCTATGGTCATTGGATCAAAATAGTTGTATGAGCAGCTTTATTATTGTGATAGATAAGGTGAATGATATATAAAAAACTTAAATTTAAACAAAACAATGCTTGGAATGAATGTGTTAAAGAAGTTAGAGGACATATAGGCCTATAAAAACTAGCACGATTCTCACAAAATGCATATTAAAGATTAATGATCATAACTTAAGGGAAAGAGGTTAGAATAGTGTAGAAGAAGACATGCCAAAATGCGCAGACTAGAAAGTTGTAAGAGATTCCTTTACAACTCCGTGCATGGACACAACTAATGCAATGACCTTTGACCTTTCACCTTGGTCTGGTGCTTCTTGAAAATCAGAGGGAAATCTACTTGTTTCTGAGAACTCGGAGATGCCTAGATATCAATAAAGACAACAACAAAATAATAAAATGGATGGTAACTTGAACCAAAATGGGTACCAAACTAAAATAAAATGAACACATGAGGGTGCTTCCATGCGATGCTTCCCATATGACAAATGTGCGTCTTTTATCCATGTATTTAATTTAAAAAATGATAAATTTCTTGATATGGCTATTTGAGAATGATGCTTTCTGGCATCACTGCATTTTCATTGTCGTATCAAGAGGTTTTTAATTCATTAATGAAAAACATAGTGATCAATGCCATTTGTTTTATGGGAATAAATTGCATGGAAAGCCCATGAAACAGAGGCAAAAATAAAAATAATTCTTCAGGTAAAATCTACAGAGGATGAACGTTTTTCATGAGCATGCTTTTCTCTTTTTTTCTTCAACTTGAGATTTTTGAAAAATCAAAACATACGATTTGAGTCACTTTTGTCGGACCCACCCATTGTTTGACGGAAATGGATTGCTTCGTGGCGAAGGAATTCTGCAACAAAATTGAGACAGGAATCAATCGATGATTACATGTATTCTAACAGGTCCATCGGGGCTTGGAAATTCAGGCAACGTCACATAAATCACTTATTTCAATGGGTTTAGCATTAAACATGTTTCCTGTTTCTTTTCCTCCTTAAACGTTGTCAAAAACTCTCAGTATTAAAGATAACGATGGAACTATGTGTCTCATTAATGTGAAGTGATGTTCAGTCCTTACCTGCAGTGTGTATTGATACTTCCCTTTGTAACATTTTGTAGGAATTTGACAGGGCACAAACGTGATGGTGAAACTGTTCAATGAATTATGGCAACACTGAAAGATTTATAAATAGAGTAGGTATATGACGATTTTTGTTGACCGTGGAAATCGGAATTCGACCACAACTCTAAACCCTAGATGTACTCTGAGAGAGTTTGTTTGCCATCACATCAGAAGTCAAGATTACATTCAGAACATTCCTTTTGCAACGACAGTCATCATTACATCATCACCAATATTCTCCATGCCGGTGCCAGAGAATTGTGTTGTCGCCATGCAAGGCTCTCACAATGCTATGATCAGCACAGCAACTATTTCTATCACTACACATATCAAATCAAATCTTTGCACTTGTCTATGTACATCCAACTGAATTGTCTGGAATACGATGCTCAAGCATTACATAACATTACAGAAACAAACAACAACAACAATAACAAAGAAGAAAGTAAAGCAGCAAAATAAAAAGATGAATCTAATGAGAGAAAGAAATTCGTTTTCATTAACATGTAATCTAACATAGAGACAATGCCTCCAGGGGGATGTTTCACAAAGACTAAGCTCGACTTAACTATGGCAGGCCGTTCATGCAACTGTTTGCTCTCAATATTTACTGGCATTGCTCTCTCAACGGACGTACAAATCATGGTCACAAATCTACAGATTTACATTTTTTGATGATTCATTATTGAAGGAAAAAGTACTGTCTAAAGATCATAATGGTGAGAGCAACCAGTGGCATGAATGGCCTGCCATAGTTCAGTCCAAATCTAAGTCGATCTTGGCCTTTGTTAAACACCCCCCCCTGGTTTTCAGCAGACATTGTATTTCATTGGTTAGTTTAATATAAGAAAGGAGTTACCTTTAAAGGCGCTGTGGGTGCTCATCCTATCCCCCATGCTGTGATAGAAGTCCTGGACCAGCTCTGCTTGCTCTTCCACCGACAGATTGGAATCCCTCTGCAGTCTCTCCACGAACGCCCTGCACTGCTTGTTGAGATCCTGGGCAGCGGGGCGGTTGAGTATCTTGAGGAACTCCATGAAGTCGCCCATGGCGCGCTGGCTTTCCATGCTGATTTGCTTCTCAAGCCGCGCATGGGGAGCTTGAGCGGCGCCCTCTGCTGTTGTGAATGAAATCAGTGAAGCCGAAGCTGACATGATGAAATCTCTTTTACACAAAGGAAGCTTAGAAAATAATCTAAGATAAAAATAGTGTGGAACTAGGCATACTTACTATGAAATTTGACAAGCTTTCAACATGACTAGTTTGTGCGGCTGCAAATTCTTTTTCTTCTAAATAAAATGTATTTAAGTTGTTAATAACCAATCTGACTTGCCTTAAAGAGGTAGTAGGTATATTGCCAATAAACCTGAACTTGGACTTGTGAATTCACCCTGAAAAATTTGCCTTGAAAAATTCGACCTATATGATGACCCCAAATGGGTTTCAGATCTCTCTCTCAACTTTGTATTTTACTACGAAACTTGTTAACCTTATCGACGGGTCATTTATATTTTACACCTTGACCTAAGCAAATATACTCAAGCATAGGTAGACTCAAGACTCAAGGCAGATATCCTCCAATGCAAACATGTTAGACCAAAAAAACATGAGGGATTGAAGAAGAAAAAATTAACAACTAAACTTTAATATGAAATACCATTCATTACTGTCACTGTCAAGACTTGACCAAAATTTGTAAAAATGTAAAGTTGATTAACCTGAAGAAAAAAAATGGTTATTTTTAAAATCAAATCTTAGACAAGCTTGCCAAAAATAAGATTCTTTGATAATGATAAGAAGTGTGTCTCCTAAAAATCTACACTTTCCTTGTTTTGTGATAGAAAAAAGGGTTATTTTGGTGAAACTCTTGTTTCTACATGATATGGGGGATACTTTGAAATTAAGTCATATATTGTCAAATCTAAGAAAGCAAACCCCAAGTGTTACGCTTGCCCAATTTAGACAAACAATTACTTAGATTAGCAAATGAGCACTTGTAAAAATGACGCCTGGCTGGAATGCTCCCCAGGGAGTGGAGAATGTGCATACAATGTGTGAGGGTAAGCCTGAATCCGATGACCGGGGTAATAATATGATTGCAGGGCCCTCAGGGAGAACAGTATGAATACTGATGAAGCTACCCTGGGTAAACAAGACATATTATTATTATTATTATTATTATTATTATGATACCTCTGTTTGGTGTCTTGCCACCCTTCGAGAAGAGCGTCTTCATGGACTTTGTTTTGCTGTTCTGCCTCTGCTTCCGTTTCTCTTCAAACTTGTCAAAGGTCAGCGTCTCGTTCTGACCCCCCTGGGTGGGGGCACCTCCTGGGGACACCACCCCTTGCTGGCCTGCTGGGGATGGGGGCTGCTCTGGCTTGGGAGAGCGAGGGGGGAATGTGAGGGCCATGTGGGTGGGGTCGTTGGAGGCTTGTTGGTCCGGGGTGATCGCCAGGGTAGAGGGGGGCCCTGACTGCTGCATTTCACTCTCGTACAGCCTATGAAAAACAGAAATTCATTCATAATTATTAGTGTTCATTATTTTTACAAGAAAAGAAGATGGAACTTTGGTTCTACAACACATGCTCCAGGGACAATTGTCCCATGGTCACTTTTCTAAGTCTTAACTTCAAATCTAAACCAAGCGCTCTACCTGTCCCTAATCCTGAACCTAACCTATTCCCGAAATCAACACTAACACAGACCCTATATCTCTGATAAAATAAAGCCCAGAGGCCAGGGCAAATGCCAGGATACCAGAATTTGACAATAAATTTTACCAAAAATTTCAATGGACATGTGATTTATTTAGGAATCATACAGTGTGAATAGAACCTATATATTATACATGTAAATGAGAACTTGTTTTTTCTAAATTCTTGATATTTGCCATAAAAAAAGAAAAATAAATCAAATTTTGAAGACCCTAGAGCAATCGGAAATGTGAAAATCTTGAACGAAAATCAAAGAGTTTGGTAAGTTCAAATTCAAACCACTGAACATTCATGGTTCAAGTTAGAAATACAGTCAAACCTGTCTACAGCGACCGCCCAAGGGAAACACAAAAAGTGGTCTTTGTAGACAGGTTCCTTTAGTACATTTTCATGGAAAACAAAAAATGTGCTTGTTGTAGACAGGTGGTCTTTGTAGACAGGTGGTGACTCAAGCAGGTTTGACTTTATCAGGTGTTGCTTTTAAATAGCCATTTTTACTTAGTTAATAATCTAGATGTATGTACCTCTTGGCAAAGAGTGCATCACTCTCGATCTGAGCTTGTCGACTGACTTGGCATTCCCCCCGCCAGCATGTGGAGCAGTAGCCCTGCCAGGCAACGGTGCCATAGAACCCACAGCCTTTCTTGCAGAGTAGCTCAGCCTCGTCAATGTGAAAGCCCTTCTTCTTCCTCGTAGTAGTAGGGGCGGCCATCTTGCTTGTAGGTTGATTTTATACAGGTTTAAGGACTGGATCTCTGAAAGTAAACAATTTAAATAACACTTCTTCATTTATGTACCCAAGTATATTACATAGCCAATGGCCTATCATACAAATAATATTTATCACTGAGAGCTTTCATTAGTAAGAATATTCTACATGCTAAGAATCTTGCACCACGATTGGTTTAAATGTGGTCACATGACAAATCAAATGTCAGTTTGCATATCATGAAGGTCATAGTTATATACTATTACACATGTGATCAGTAGGGCACTGGTCCGAGAATGAGGATCGTCGGTGCATGTTCAGAAATGTATCCAAAATTTGACCCGCAACTCCAACGTGGAGATACATGTACCCTACTAAAACATACCCAAAATGAATGAAATATTCATTAAATGACCAAAAAAGATCACAAGTTAAAAGTTGTTAGTTTATTACCTGTTTCGTGTCAATTTTCTTGTTATTTTAGGAGTATTTTTCGGATAAAGATTGATATTAGTATAAACTTTTCACAAGTTTCACGGCAAACCGCTGCACAATACAGTACATTACAATGGTGGGTTGCTTGCAGGCGCGCGCCTGTGTGAAGTTATCTACTGTTATGTCTCACCCATTATGGTACAGCGCTCAAAATACACGGGGGCGGTGGGCGATTCGCCCCCCTGAGCTACATAATCGCCCCCGTCAGGTTGCTCACGGGGGCGATTGCAAAATTAAAAATCGCCCCCGTGGAATTATAAAATAAAGATTATCTTTTCTGTTATAACTTTAACACAATATTGAGTTTCAATTTTTAAACCTTAAACCAATGAAATGGAACTTAGATTAGCGTGCAAGATTTCTCGTTTTATGAGTAGGCCTAGTTATTACCGATTCAGCTCGCAGTGCAAACACTGCAAAAAAAAAAAAAAAAAAGGTTATTTAATAAAAGGATCATATGTGACAAATAATCATTGTGATTCAAATTGATGCAAGGATTTTTTTTTGAATAAGCAATGCTTTTCACCAGAATCTTCTTTGTAAAAATGACTTTTACAAATCTCAGCCATGCAAATCTGCCACTGTGTTGTAAGATCACTTTCAGATTAGGAGAAGTGTATTCTTTAATGAGTATTTTACATCGAATGGAACGTCTCAACTCAGTAAGCATGGCTGAGATTTGTAAAAGTTGTTTTTACAAAGAAGATTCGGGTGAATAGCAGTGCTTATTCAAACAAATATTCGCATCAATTTGAATCACAATCATTATTTGTCGCTTAATCCCTTTTAATGACCTTGTTTTCTTTCTCGTTTGCAAGGGGAGAAGAAGATATGTCACGTTAAAGACATCATAAAGATCAGTGTTGTATGTGTATATATTATATACACAGGCCAGTAACAGCTATGTAGCTTGTAAATTTGTAAGAGGGAAAATGCTGATTGAAATGATAATGATGAAATAGCAAATAATTGAGGAGTATCATAGGTACCAATTCAATGGATTTTTGTATACAAAAAGAGCCCCCGTCAGTACTAAAAGAGCCCCCGTGAGAAGGCTCACGGGGGCTCTTTTTGGGGGGAAGAGCCCCCGTGGACAAAAAATTAATTTGAGCCCTGTTATGGTAGATAACTTCACACGGGTGCGCACCCGCCCGCAATCCACCATCGATATGCACTTGTATTGTGCAGCGCTTTGCCGTGAAACTTGAGAAAAAGTGTATAGACACAACGGAGTAACAGGTCAAATTTTGGATACATTTCTGAACAAGCGCCGGATCGTCCACATTAACGAGGATAACCTTGTTAACGCGTACAAATTGCGGCCTACAAAATAAGGATTGTCCCCATTATTGCCATCGTCACTCTGCAGGTTTCGGGTCCACGTGCTGGCAATTCAAGAAACGGATTCTGCTTAACAAAATACCCCCAGTTGACCATCTACTTTGATGGGTTGTCTGTCTTCCCGAGGATTTATCGCTCATAAAGTGAAAGTCTCTGTAAAAATTAGTTCAAAGATCAGCTACGGGCGACATTTTCATGACTTGGCGCGTGCGAGGGTATAACGTACGTGTAGCGTTTTTTGGAAATGAGAGCGTGAGCATTTTCAGACCCTTGAAATGCGCAACACTTGGTAGCTCTGCAAAGTCAATGTGACATGCATCAAGAAAATCATTGCGGAATCCGTTTTTACATCGCCAACGTGCAGATCGGAAATCATAATCGTCAGCGAAAAAGAGGTCTATCCTTATTTTTGCTGACGCGTCTGTCCATGTTTGCGCGGACGATCCTTATTCTCAGACCAGCACCCCTTCTGTACATGTACTAACGTCAAATGTGCAACAAGGCATAGACTAATCTACAAAGCAGCTCGCTACTCGCATCTAGTACTACTGACACTGTATTGGTGACTTTTGCATTTATTCATCTTTTCCATGGAAAGTATTGTCGATGTGGGACATGCAAGCAGATAATCACTTCTTTTATCATGTTCATTAGATTTAGACCTACTTTATCTGTTTAATAACTATCAATTAATTATTCAAATTTAAATGACAATGCATTCAGCATTCAGCAATGCATTCAGCATTGTCACTGAAATTTGGTGAATGGTGAATGAAAAATGAAAATTTGAAATTAGATCTATGAATTGAAATTTGATTGATTTCAATCAATCATGTGATTTGTTTAGAGTCTAGATCTACATGAAAAAATTGATCAGGACAGGTAGTCTTTCTTTGAATAAAATGAAGTTTAAAACAACTCACCTTTTGAAGAATGGAAATCTATTAAGTTGTGGCTGCAAGGGTAAGAAAATAAAACAGAAGAGATCGAGCCGCCCAGCTCAGCTCAGTCAGCCGGTCTATAGTCTGCGTCGACGTCTAGCTAGTCTGTTGATTGATAAACCGTATCACTGCACTGCACTGAACTGCACTACTAGCACTGTACCGCGCATGCGAAATGCAATGCAGTAGTGGTGGACGTATAATGGGCGGATTCGTCAATATGTGTCACCTGATATTCTGGTCAGCTGACTGTGTTTGGTAAAGTTCATCAACAAAACTAAAGTCTAGATTTATTAAAGTTTATAGGAAAGCGCTGGGCTGCTGCCACACAATTGAGGCTTGGCCTTGGCAAATTCACCTTGGCCCTTCAACCAGGCAAAAAAGCGATGTTGATATTTACTTGGATGGCAATTGCTTTCATTTGGGATCTTTTGGGAATTCCCAGGGTTCGGTATGTACATGTACATGTATCACGTTCATTAATGCCAGGCCCAGGCCCAAGCCCAATCAGTCAGTATAACTGAATACTGTACACAAATGAAATGTGAGACGTACGGTCACGGTTCTGAGCTGGTCCAATATAGCAATAACAAATCGCTTGAGGTCTAAAAATAGTAATAAGGAAATAAATAATGAACAGAAACTAATTAAGTTCTGTGTGATTATAGATTAGGGTAGAGGTCTAAGTTAAATTGAATTCATTCTTTGTTATTACATGTAGTTGGGAGTGGTCTCTGTACATGGTCAGGAGCTAGAGCTTTGACTTGAATTTGAGATTCTATGACGAGGTGTTGATCTGTCAAAACCAAGAATGGGTAGTGTTTTTGGTGTGAAACTAGAGTGAGTGTTCTACATTTTTTGCAGACTCTGTCTTAGTTATCTGGTTACTATATTGTATATTGTTTTTGTGTTAATTGCTTTTTATATTCCAATGTTTCCTCTTTTAAAAATCATTTCAATTAACATCTGTTAGATTTTTCTTGTCTATGTTCTGACAGTGACACATACATGTATGTCATGATCTGACGGAGCTTGATTTGCAATATCATTTGATTTTGATTTTGATGAAGGCAAAGTACATGTAAGTCAATGTGAAAACCATTTTTATTAGAAATGCAAGCCTTGCGGTAAAGATAAACTGGATATCTGTCTAGTAAAAATTACTTTCACTGGAACGTGGATGGAGAAATACAAGTCTGTACCCCATGTATCCTGGCTGTACAGCAGTATAGAGGCGCATGGCCGATATAGGAGACTTTCTTCTATTTGGGATACCAATTTTTATTTACATTTGAACATATAAATTACATGTTTTAGAAATACTTTTCCTTTTCAATTAAGATTTTTTCAAGTCATCAGACTAGACCATATTCTTATTTTGTTTAACTTTTATTACAGAAGTACAGAAGAGAAGGAAATAATGGCAACGGAAGACCAAGTCATCATGGAACCGTCCCTGGACTTTCCTTTCCTGAATGATACCAAGACAGTTGAGTACGTGGGAGAGTCGAAGACACTGCTCTTACTTCGTGGCCCACCAGGGAGTGGTAAATCGTCCCTGGCTACAGCGATCTCCGAGAAGTATCCTTTGAAAGTCGCCATCTGCTCTGCTGAGGAACACATTCCTCAAGGCGAAAAGCCTCCTTTCTCTAGGGAGATGCTCAAGAAGGCCCACACTGACTGCCAGCAGTGTGTCAAGGACGCCTGCAAGGAAGCCTATCCCATTGTCATTGTGGACAACACAAATGCCTCACTCTTGTCAGTGAAAAATTACAGTGGCATTGGACACGAGTTCGACTATGTGGACGTTCTCGTAGTGCCCCAGACAAGTTGGATTCTTGATGCTCAAGAGTTGGTCAAGAGGTCGTCCAGAGGTTTCCCTCTTGAGGATATCCAGAGGAAACTTGAGAAGTTCCAGGAACCAATATACCCTCTCTTTTATGGCTGGTTTGTCAACAAAACCGATTCAGAGACTATGAGGGGTACTGGGGAAACATTTTATGAGAGGTGTCTAAGCAAGAGGGAGTTCAGAGAAGAGTTTACAAAGCATCTGCTACCAGATGCTAGTGGCAAAACACCAGGTATAGTAAGCAAATAATTACTGTTGGTGAAGGTGATGGGACAAACTATCACTTCCGAGGCGATCTGGATGTAGCTATCTTTCCGAAGCAAAGCTGAGGAAAGATAGCGTATATATTCTGATCGACGAGGAAGTGATAGTTTGCCATCGCGTGAAAACCAAAAGGTGATTATTTGCTTTATATTCCACATCTAAAACAATTTAATATCAAAAAGAAAAGGACGTGTATGCATCTACATAAAAGACACCTAGGCCCAAATTCACACCAAAAAGTTTAAGTTTAATCCAATCCCTTGAGGGTAAGGTGCGCGCATGTGTTTTCTTTAATTGTGCTCATTGGTAATGCGCGCTTAATTACGCCTGTTTTAGTGCGCGTTTGGATAATCTTCAGTGAAAGTGCATTGCCCTTTGTAGATAGTACCTCTATCTTCGATGAAAGTGCATTGCACTGTGTAGATAGTAGTACTATCTACACAGTGTAACAAACTTTTTGCTTCTCCCATCAATAATGGGCGAACTATCTTTTCTCACGTGATTTACTTTACATCCAATCGTAGAGCAAGATTCTTAGTATGTGGGATATAAAATCACCTATTATGCAGGGCTCGACACTGACAAGGGTCTCATACATGTATATATTTATGGATCCCCAATTTTGACCCAAAATTTTCCCCATGACCCTCAAAATCCCAAACTGTTTCAGACATGCCTGAGGCACTCAGACCCACAGTATTTTATTCTGGATCCCCAGAAAAGAAGTATGGAGTACTGTTTTCTAGGACCTCCATTTGTTGATGATTCTAGTTTCCAGTTGTTTTGTTTCTGGATCTGCATGTCACTCTCTTGTTTCGGTTTTAGTTATAACAAAATTGTAGAGAATTATACATGGAGGGCCTTCAACATGTCTGTGTTTTTTTTCTTCAGGCTAATTAGGTATAACCAACCGCTATATCCCTAATTTGTGATTGTCTGTATTTATTTATCCTCTCGTTCTTTGATAGCTTCATAACTAGCCTCATACAAGTAAAGAAAGTTTTACATTTTTTAGGAAATTTGCTAATGTTAGTGTGCTTATCATGAAGCGTACATGAGCCTGATTGCTGACAAACACTTACCAAATTTAGGAGATGGATAAATACTTAAACTATCATTTGTACGCATTTAACTTTTCCAACATGATTGTCTTCATCACATAATCTACACTTGATACATCATTAAATTTCATGTATTTGTCCACAATTTTCTTTAACCTATAGATCCAGAGAATTACTTCTCAACTGAGAACTACACCGTTGGTCCTGTGATGCTTCACTGCACAGCCTTCTACAGCAACTACGGCGAGGTCAGCCAATCAGAGGCCTACGCTACCCAAGAACGGGTCAAAGCCGACAACGGCAAAGCGTTCACCATCAAGGTCATCGGTCTTCTGGTGACCCCACGATCCCTAGGTCTGCGACTAAAACTTGACGATGAAGAGCTCCTCCTGTGGCCACAGGATGAGGTTAACGAGGTTGCCGAGGGCGGAGCAGAGGAAACATGTGATCTGGCTGCGGGGGAGAAGTCCGGGCCGTGTGACGATGAGTGCATCATAACCCATCTGTCTCCAACCTGTGGGACAGGGAGCCGCGCCCACTTCAGTTTGGGTAGCGGTCCCGGTGTGGAAGCTGTCCAGACCGGTCTAGACCTGGAAGAGATCATCAAGATGGAACAAGAAGCGGTTCGGATGAAGAGGAGCCACATTGTAATAGCATTAGAGGATGCCACAGCCGTCGGGTATGGGGAGGGAAACTGGATGGTGTACTTTGATCAAGCTTGTTCAACTGAAGCTCTTTTTGCAGGATATTTCTAAATATGTAATCATTGTTAATCGTGACAAACACAATTCTTCATTTCAAAACATTTTCAATACATGTATATGTACAGTGATTATTTGTAGGTGCATGTGACACCAAAAGATGAGTAAATATCAAAATTTTGCTTTTGATTGTGTTCTAACCTTCCAAATACAGATTTGATAAAATTGCTACAAAATGATGCTAATTCAGGCCATTTATAATAACTTCTTTTTTCTTCTCAAGGTCTTTTCAAAAATCAAAATTATGGTATACAAATGATGGCCAAACAAAGTTGTACAATATTAGCAGCAATTTTTGTTCATATCAATCAGAAATACAAGCTGTTTATTGATTGTCAGTTGTGTTAATGTATGAATATATTACATCACAGCTACTTCAACAAAAACCATGCATTTAGTTGATTTTATACAGCCTTGGTCATGTTGTTTTGCTGAAGTTTTAGAAATATATTTACTTATTTGTAGCATTTAACATGTACATGTACATAAGAGTGTAGAATGAGAATATGGTAATCCCTACCTGTTCTTGGAAAGCTTCTAGATGGAAGGATCATGCATGCATTTAGCTGACAAACAGGATTCTTCTTTCTTAGAAGTTCTAATTTACTGTTTTTAATAACATTCATCTTCAACCATGTTCATATACTGTACTAAGAAATGTCTGTATCTTTGAGTTATTCACCACCAAGAATATTACCATTGCAGTAGGTGTTAAAAGATATGTCATCTACTAATTTTAGGTAAAAGAATATCAGTTTCATCATAATGTACTTTCTGCTTTTCTTGTAGATAAGCATGTATTATAAAGTCTACCTTTATAAACATCATGACACTAGTGAGAATGTTTGTACAAATATATGTTTTATTTTTTAAAAGAAAGAGCTTCAAAAGCATGGGAAAATATTATGTTTAGCTTCAAAAGCACAATTATTTATTCTAAATGTATGAAAATGCTGCTTCTAAGTTTCAACCAAATGTAATGGTTACAACTGTTATTTGCTTTGTTGTTGTGGAACTCTTGAATTGTAAGTATTTCATAACTTCAGTGAAAATAGCTTGAATTAAGCAAAGGAAATGCACTGATAACATATAGTTTAGTATAGGTTGGTCTCTTTTTTGCATCATTCATTCTGACACATACCGGTACATGTATTTAAGTTTAGCAGATATTTTCATTGAGACATTTTGGAGAAATAAAAAGTTAGCCTGTATGCTTTCATATGTCCCGTGTATGCATGATGTCGTAGTGTGGTAGGAAATCTGATCCTCCCACTCCAAAATATTTAAAGCCATACTCTCCTAAAAGCAGTAACCCCAAATCCCCTCTAGCATCATCTCAGGTCAGCTGTAGCGTGATGGTCCCATTACTCGCTTCTTCCCTAGCCACTCGCATCCAGCTAGCCCTGTGTCTGCGAATTAAGTGGGAATTAGGTATTGGGTCGTGCACTGTTGGCAAGTTGACCATGAGATGGCGCTGTGCAATAAACTATGCTAGGGCAGAAAGTTCATCAGTTCAGTATCGTTTTAATAGTTTGACAATGTTACCTTCTATCTGATATTTCAAGATACTGTATTCCAATGTAAGTTGCCAATGCTTGTATGTACCTTGAAGCATTTGTGGACATGATCTCCCACAAACAGCTTCATGTGTTGCCCTATGATGAGCTTGATTATAACAGATCTATCTTCTAAACTTGATAACAAGTTGATTTTAGTGTAGTAGGAAGAGATTTGTAATAGTTTGAAGAATATAGGACAGATAATAAAAATGTCCCGGGCCCCCCACTCAGTGTTTTTTTAGGGTAAGCGTAGGCTATGCATGTTCCCTCCTTTTGAAAACATCCCCCTAAGTACGGTGTGTAAAGTCAATACGGGCCGGATTTTTGTGTACTACGTACGAGCCGGAGTTTGGTGCGTGAAAAGTACCCCTTTACCGGACATTTTGGGAACATGCATGCGGTCCCTCCGACCCCGGAGTGGAGGGGCCGGGAAAAATGTAACACATTTTGGAAAGCCAAGACCTACACTAAAAAATCCTTTGATGACTTTTGTGTAATTTTCAACAATTTTAGTATTTTTAGTGCGCATACTCAGAAAATTAGCTTCACTTAGCCTGATTGACATCTAAAAATGTAACATGCAGATACGGTATAGGACTGGAAATGTAAGTAATGATTTTGTACATATGAAAGTATTTGAATTGTATTTTATGGGCTAGCTTACAAAACGATTGATCTTATTTTTAAAGATTATCACCCTATACCGGTATATATAATGACTGGTTGCATTTTTTTCTTAAAAAAATTTGTGAGCACATGAATGTAATTCATGGTACATCTACTTTCAATGTTGTTTTCCTTGCCATTCTATTAATGCTACTTAAATAAAAAAAATAAAAAAATCAGAACCAAAAATGAAAGAGTATTATTCACAGACGACGACTTAGTATTTCCAACTTCTGTGGATGTTTGTTTTTGTGTGTGAATCTCGAAAAAATGAGTGCAGTGTTTGTAACTGGTTGCGGTTGTAATTTATCTAGAATTATTTTTTTACAGCTGGAATATGGTCTTCCATGCTATTCACTTCAATTAAAAATTTCTGTGAGAGAGTGTGTGGGGATGTATTATATATGTATGTGAGGAAAAATTAATCTACAATTTATCACATGATACCCAAGAGAGAAATAGAGACCCCATAGGATGACTAAAGCATTTGTGTACGTAATTTCCTATGCCCTCACGATGACCATATGGTAGGAATACTCCCCAGGGGGTGGAGATGGTACACATTGTGCGTGAATAAATCTGATGACCGGATCTAGTAATAATATCTGTAAAGCGCTTAGAGACGGTATTCCGTATTAAAGCCTAAGTCCACTCGAAAAATAACATCATTTCAATAGAACCAGAAAAATCAGACAAACCAATCAAAAAAAGTTTGAGCAAAATCGGATAACTAATAAGAAAGTTATGAATTTTTAATGACATGAAAAACTTTGAAAATCACTACAAAAATTGGCAACTCACTCATGAGTCTGTGACGTATGGTCCTCACTGTCCACTAATTATTTTCTGTATATTGATAATATAAATTTCCTATTTTCACCCTAAGAATCTTATTTCTTCACACCAGCATCCAAGTTAGATTGTTAGTAATATGTGTTTGTGAGGATGCACAAATAAAGAGTAATTTTTGTCCAGTTAAATCATGAAATAATTGAATTTTGATTAACTATTTATATAAAAATCAATAATTATGAAATACAATGTTCAGAAAATAGTATCAATTCTTCAAAATTCATTAAAAAAATTGGGAAATGTCATGCACGCAATATAATACAAATCATATAACCTAGGCAAAGGCATGGGGAAATCATGTTTTGGGGGATAAAAAGAGAAATTAATGGGATTAAACTATGTAAAGCAATTGATAAGTTGTGAGGACATGACGTCATAAACTGATAACCATCTTGGCAATTCGTGTTGCGATTCTCATTGTTCCATAGTTTTACATACTTTTTCAAAAATTCATAACTTTCTTATTAGTTATCCGATTTTGCTCAAACTTGTTTTGATTGGTTTGTCTGATTTTTCTGCTTTTACAAAAAGTAAGTTATTTTTGGAGTGGACTTGCCCTTTAAGCGCTATATAAATCCAGATAATTTGATCATTGAATCATTGCCTTCTAGAAAGATGTACAATTTAAAATTATATCTATTTCCATTCTATATTTTAAAGCTATTTTATGAAGGAAAGTGAGGACTTCTGTTTGTTTATTTTCTAATTTTATTTATTTATTTATTTTTTTAAATTTATTTATTTATTTACTTATTTTTATTTATTTATTTATTTATTTATTTTTTTTTTTTTGGGGGGGGGGGGGCGCCCCAAGCCCCCTAAAACTGCTCCTCGGGGGAGTCCACCCTGGTATCAAGTTAGTTATAACAAAATCAGAAAAAATAGTAAAGTTTGTGGAAAGATTTTTACCAAGAATCTGTAATGTATTGATTTTTAATCTACACACTACAGATATTTGCTACTATATTTTTCTAGCAAACAACTCTCATTTTGTTCTCTATTGTATTTTCCTCAGTTAAACTTAAATTATTGATCTGTTTCACTTTTTGATTTTTTTTTCTGAAAACTTCCCAAGTCTTTTAAAGACCGTCACCACTACTGGGCCAGAAGGGATTAGACCACACAGAGAGCCATCGAGGTCACTGTGACAGGTGGCTATCTCATTAACTCAGCTCTCATTTAACATAAGAAAAAGAGGATCATGGGGGACCAACAGGCACCGATTGGTGAAGTTTTCTATATAGAGGGAGCAAGTAGCTACAAGTATGGCAGTGTGCCTTTAACTATTGGAAATAATAGATTACCTGACCTTGACTTTTGGAAGGCCTGCACACAATTTGGGATACAGGTGGGCCTATATATTCAATAAAAAGTCAAGTCAAGAGGCAAGTTGAATTGAATGAATATAGAGAAGATTACTATCTATATTTTGTTTATCATCATCAACATCATCAACAACTCACTAATTTGCATACAGCCTATGTGATACATATCACCGTTCCATGAAATTATGCAAAGCTTAACAATTATGTAACTTTCTTATTCTTCCTTCAATTTTGATGAAACTTTCGCCAATTTATTTGTTTAAATTTTCTCTTATATTTTCAATTCAACTTGTAAAAAATAAATGATATTTTACATGGAAGTGACAACAAAAAATCATAACAAATTAATTATTGAATGAAGAAATCGTGCTGGGGTCAGCTTATGAGCAAGTTGAAAAAATTCAGATCATGCTTATAACAAATATTCATTAATTCTTCACTGGACCTATATTTTTATTTGGGCCCCACCAGGAACAGAGATAGGTGCATCCATCCTATACCCCAATACCCCTCCCCCTCCCCAGATGATCTGCAAATGATTGTTTTAAGGCCTAGATAAACACAAAATACAACACATTGAGAATATAGACCAAAATCTGAAATATTACATATTTGTCTCTATTTTGTGTGCATGTTGCAATTTGTTTCAGGATTACCCTCAAGTCTCCAAATGTAAACTTCCTATTTCCCAATAAAAAATGTAGTTGCAATTCAGTTGGTAGAGGAATTAAATTAATACACAGGGTTGTATATTATGATAATAAAGCACAATTGAAATTTAAAAACTAATACGAAGGATTTTGTAACCTGTATCTAGTAGAAAGTGAACCCTCAAAACAAATGAATTGGAACATAGCTAATGAAACACTGCATTAACAAAACAAAACGCCTTTCATTACGTCTAGCGATTAAATGCCAAATATCCAGAAGTAAACATGGCGGTTGCCAGTGAGCTGCAGTGGGTCCCTGAAACCCTTTACAATGCCGCTATTTCTGCCGTTGTTTCTACTTATTCAAGACACAGAAAAGAGCTGAGACCTTTACCTGAGAATATACAGTTCGACATTTATTACAAAGTAAGTTTTTAGTCGTAAAATTTCGCCTCAAACTTTGTTTATTTCGCAGCTGTTCAGAAGAGGTTTGAGCTGAGCTTGTTGAATGATGGAGCTGAAAATCGTATGTGCAGTAGGCCTATCAGGTCGACCTGCCTCGATCGTAGAGAGCAATGATGAATGAGTAATATTGGCAATGTTAATGAAGCAATTGTTTTGGTGACGTGCTCTATTTTGATGTTGTCTCTCAGGGCGTGTGTATGCATGGTTCATTACCTTGCTTGCCTATGTTATAAGTTATGACACTGGGAAAAGAGAATGTCCATCATCACTGCATCAGTACTAGACCGAATTTTTCTGTCTCTTTCGTTCGTTAGCCTCTGATTTGGGTAAGGTCGGCTCTCTCTTTAGAGACAGAACAGCCCTATATGCTGTAGTGGACGCGCGTTTGTGTAAAGAAACGTTACACAAAACTTGGCCAAACTTACTCCCTAATTTTGATATTTTACCGAATGCGTAGACTATCTGATGCATTTAAAGTCCTAAATTAGTTAAATGCTTAACTACTTCGGTTCCACTTACCAACTTGACTACTTGAATCCATTTAATGGTCCCTTTTCAGGAAATTATGGGTCAAGATCGACATCCATGAAGAAAATCTTGCAGCCGGGTCTCATTCCTTCTAGTCTACGCCGAAGGCAAAATGATTATAACAGAAAAACTTTGCACGAGCTACGAGTTCGTAATGACATGCACAGTTTACTAGTTCCAGCGCTAGTTCACAATCATATCCAGACTGTGAAACCCTACTAAAACATAGCAACGATCGACTAAATCTTCATCAATTGTTCAAATAATGGTCATGATTTAAAAGTTGTTATGTTTCTTACCTGCATGTTACGTGTCAATTTTTTTATCTTCTTTGGAGTATTTCGCTTAAAACAAAGACTTATATTATAAAGATCTATACACTTTCTCAAGGGATTCATGGCAAACTGCTGCACATGCAATTGCATGTGCGGGCACGCGTGTGTTAATTTGGCGACCGTAAACTAAGATAACAGTCGCTAACTTTATGGTATGTATTGTGCAGCAGTTTGCCATGAATCCCATGAGAAAGTGTATTAACATATATGAAGACAGTCTCCTTAGATGTAAGGTTAGTAGGTCAAAGGTCACAGAGGTCCATACAGTATGTGAAATTACAGGTTTTTAACTTTTTAGCCTTGCTATCGCAATATCTAAACAGTATTACTGTAGGGAGATGATCCAATTGCATTTTCGGGCTAGTACATGTAGTAGGTCAACATCATAGGCGTCAGTTGACATTTGATTATAGACTTTTTGTTTTCATTGTGATATATCATGAATAATTTCATCCATTTCCTATTCTGAATTTAGGATGGAGGCATATATAGGGGACGCAGTGGCATTTATCTTTTGTTTTAATACAACCTGTTTTTGTGTACATACTGCACATGTAGAAGAGCATGCCAAAATAATCCTTTTGAACTCTCCAATGTAATCCCCCTTTTTTAATCTATTTTATTCTCCATTATTCTTAATTACTTTAGCTGTACAAACAAGGAAGACTATGTCAACTTGGAATGGAGTTTTGCGAACTGGACATCTTTGCAAAGGTCCTACGAGTAAATGACAAAAGGTGAGTCAAAGGTTAAAGGTCAAACGTCAAATGTGAGAGTTAATGAGTTGTGAAAAATGTATTATCTACTGTATGAGATAAGCCATTTGCCCATAAATAGAAATTTATAATACAGGGGTATTAGTTCATTTGTTTCAGAACTTTGTAAAAACTATATGCGCTGATAATATACAGTAGTTTATTCAATATTCATCTTTCTTCACAGTATATTTTTCACTAAATTTGTGGCCATTAATATGGAAATGTGTCCCGGTACATATCGTCCCTTGGCAGGCCGAAGGGTGTTAGCTTGAATTTCAGGTAAAAAAATGAAGCATTAAGCAGAAGGGCATTAGCACTAAATCGCCCCTAACTTTTATAAAACTGACTTATTTTTGAGAAAAAACAAATATATTAGTCTTTTAAGTTTTAAACCAATTTTCTGGACGGAAAGCAATTTAAATTTAAAACAAATGTTTAAATGCGAATAATTCCAAAAGTAGTTTTTGAGTTGCTCGCGCGCTAACGCCCTTCTGCCAGCCGGCAGAGGATATGTTGTACATGCTGTCTACTGTGTAGCAATGTTGTTCTTTAGTATAGAATTATAAACATTGTTTGAATGTTTCTCCATGTCGTCAGTATTTTTTGTAGACAAGCTACATGTAAGTTATCAGGGAGGCTTCTTTGTCATACAATATGACTTTACAAATTCAGTCATTTCTATTTAGCTATTGATGTTTTAGCTTAGCGGGCCTAGAAAGGAAGAAAAAAGATTGACTAATACCGTCTTCACACCTGATATTTTGTGTGGCTAAGGGTTTTTATCCCTGCAAGTTCCCGGGCTATCTTCTGTGTTCACACTTGGTTTTTCAAAAGGAGGTTAGCACCGCAAGTTCCCGGGCTTAGCTGGTCCTGCTCCCGAGTAGGGTTAGCGCGGCAATTGTGGCGCTAGTGGTGCTAACCCCCCAATAGACCAGTTCGTAGTTAGCACATGGGTCATATGAACCCAAATATCCACATATCTTTTAAACATAGATAAATCCAACTTTGTGCCTTTTGGAATAATCACAGCAAAAGTCATGGAGTGATTCTTTGTTTGCCCTCTTGAAAAGATTACTTCCACCTGTGTTCAATAGAATGTATCACAGCCCATAGGAAAGAAATGAGCCTGCCGCATACTCCTGCGGCAGACTTGCCGCAGATCTGCAGCAGACCTGCCGCAGACAGTCATCTTTTTCACATGCAAATTAGGTCTGCCGCAGACTTGCTGCAGACCTGCCGCATACTCTTTCAGTATGATGAAGAGTCTGCGGCAGGTCTGCCGCAGACTTGCTGCAGACTTGCCGCATACTCTTTCAGTATGATGAAGAGTCTGCGGCAGGTCTGCCGCAGACTTGCCGCATACTCTTTCAGTATGATGAAGAGTCTGCTGCAGACCTGCCGCATACTCTTTCAGTATGATGAAGAGTCTGCGGCAGGTCTGCCGCAGACTTGCCGCATACTCTTTCAGTATGATGAAGAGTCTGCCGCAGACTTGCTGCAGACCTGCCGCAGACTCTTCGTCATGAATATTCATATCTCATATAGACCTGCTGCAGACCTGCCGCATATATCCAGTACGTGGCAATAAAGTATGCATGTAGAAGAACCAGTGATAAACTGATTGATACTTCATAATCGATATTACCAATTAGGTAATACCAATATATATATATATATATTACGGATTAGGTATATTCTATTCTCAATTGTATTAACTTCATCACATTGATCATTTGAAGTGTATTCAAGAGTTACATTTAAAGTGACACAGGCTCGTACACATATATATACTAAATATGTATATTGTTTCTTGGTTAGTAATCATAGTTTCTTGGTTAGTAATCAATATATCTATTACTTAAACGTGAATGTAATTGTAACATGATCAGACAAAATAATCTATTGGTTAATAATGGCAAAAAGAAAATAGAAATCACAAAAATGATGTGCATTGTCTTAATTTGCTTAACAAATCATGATAAATGTATTTTTCTGTCACACGTGTAAAGTAATAATGAATATGCATGAGATGATTGATTTCAATTAGCCCTATTAGACTTTAATGGGATTTCCTGTGGCAGACCTGCCGCAGACTGTTCCTGTGGCATACTAGTATGCGGCAAGTCTGGAGCAAAGTTTCATCCTGCCGCAGATCTGCCGCAGACTGTTCCTGTGGCATACTAGTATGCGGCAAGTCTGCAGCAAAATTTCATCCTGCCGCAGATCTGCCGCAGACTGTTCCTGTGGCATACTAGTATGCAGCAAGTCTGGAGCAAAGTTTCATCCTGCCGCAGATCTGCCGCAGACTGTTCCTGTGGCATACTAGTATGCGGCAAGTCTGCAGCAAAATTTCATCCTGCCGCAGATCTGCCGCAGACTGTTCCTGTGGCATACTAGTATGCGGCAAGTCTGCAGCAAAATTTCATCCTGCCGCAGATCTGCCGCAGACTGTTCCTGTGGCATACTGGTATGCGGCAAGTCTGCAGCAAAATTTCTTTCTGCCGCATACTTCGGCATACTCTTTGCCGCAGACTAAAAGTCTGCGGCAGGTCTGCGGCAGATCTGCGGCAGGTCTGCGGCAGGTCTGTGGCATACTTTTCACTTTCCTATGGGAGGTGCATGCATGAATAATGATTACATAACTTTCGTGAGCATGTATCCAGTATTAGTCTCAGTGGGTTTTACAATTTTGTTCAAGTGACCTTTATCTGCGCATGCGCAGACCAATCCGCACATGCTCAGACTGTATCTACGAACTGGTATATTGCCGGGCGCACCTGTCAGGTGTGAAAGCTAATATGAATGAAGGCTAATACTATAGACTGGTTTACTAATATATTCAAATTTCTTTCCTGGGAACCTAGTGACAAGGTATTCCATTAACCTGTTATTAATGAATGAACTGAAATACCTGGAAACCAGTCTGCGTACATTACACGTTGCTGTGTCGGGCACACCTCGGGCAAGCTTGTAGGTTTAGAACAACCTTTATTTTAAACGGTTTGCACAAAATTTGAATATGTTAGTAAACTGGTCTATTGAGGAAAATCATCCGGTGTCCCTGTAGAATAATTTACCCCCCTCTTTGTATTTTTACTTGCAGACACTTACTTCACCACTGTTTCCAAGCCTTGATGGACCATGGTGTCAAGGTGGCTACTGTCCTTGCAGACTCTTACGCTACACATGCATCGATAGAGGAACAGAACCAGGACAGGATCAGTCGGACAGTCCAGCTTGGGTTCTCGTTAGGTAGGCATTATCCTATGAGATGTAACCCTTGAGCCTTGTTCAGATATATGCCGCAGTAAACCACTTTCATGACAACGTAGAACGTAATACACTTCACATTTCTGTATCGTATATTTATTATACATAGAGCTCAGTGAATAAGTGTAGGACCTTTGTTGCATGCATCCATTGACAAGTAAAAAAAAATATGCAGCAGTTTACTGCATTTTATCTGAACACGCCTTGAGTGCATTCTAACTCTCTAACCGCTAAGCATGTGTGATGTATTAATGTTAATCCTAACCAGGCAAGTCAGACAGTGCAATATTTAACAGGATTTGAGAGTGATTTATCTTCTGATAGCTTTACAAAAATGCTCTTGGAAAACTGAATAGCTCAGTTAAAATCAGTGAGGAAATTTCACTGTTACAAATCCTGATGAAGTATTTTTGCACTGTTGGTGTGACCAAAATCTTTGCTACCTTACATCTAGGGACACAACAGAATAAAAACATTTTGGAGTGAATTAAAACAGAAATTCGATACTTTGTGAATTAATTTTGTTGGATTCCATATGTTATCCCAATTAAACTAGAGCTCGTTTGTGACACAGCCTGCTATTTGGCCAGACAGCAGGCATACTTGCCATTAAAGTTGCTGTCTGACTATCATACCCTTGTAGAGGGTGCCCAAAATTGAACCCCCATAATTTTTTAAATTGCATCCACGCATACAGACTCTAAAATGTATAATACAGACCCCTTTTAAAATAAGGTTAATGGACCTTGAGTGAGCGGGATTATTAGACTCTGGCTAATGGAGATGGAAAAAATCAAGCTCAGGGGAGGTATTTTGAAAACTGCATAAACTTTTATGTTAGTATAAATCATAACATATCTAAATTAGGACAAGTAATTGGTCAATTTCTGCCCAACGCTTGCAGCCTACATGTACTTGTATGCGTATGGTTTGGAGAGGAATCTGCCTGAGCACTTGTGTTTGTTTCTCGCTATTTGATTTGTTTCACTTACATAGAAGATGACACAGATTTCATTCAGACTATGGCCTGGATTCTTTGATCAAGAATTGCTGATTGAGTATTTTTAGGCTAATCAAGATGCACGTATTGCACATCGAGATGCATCTTTTGCACAAAGGATATCTGTTACAAGCAAAACTGTATACCCTCCAAAGAGATAAAACTCTGTTATACTACACTTAAATGTGACTGTGCAGTTATTCATAATATTTTGTCAGTCGTCAACGGTATTGCAACATGGCTCAATGTACAGGAAAATATTTTGAGAGATCAGCTTACAAAACTATGGTATGGGAATAATGTTTAGCCACACATTCTCATAACTGTAATGTATCCCCTCACACCATCTGTGCAGTATTGAATGGCAGGGTATATTTTGGAACATCTGTTTGCCAGTTCATAAATCACTGCAGTGATTGTGCAAAAAATACACCCACACTTGGGGCCTAACAAATGAATGGGAAATATGTTAATGTTCCTTCATGATTCATGAATAGCAGAAATATGAATGGCATAACAAATGTAATTTTTCCATTCATTGTCTTTCCTTGTCTGTTCTTAACCAAATGTCAATTGCGGGCTGTACATGTACGATGTATTTGTCTAATGTCTACATGTATGTTGAAAACCAACCCCCAAGAAACTCACTTTTTTTAAAAGGCCTAATCCACCCCTTTTGTTGGAGATAAATAAATAGATCTCTACAAATATTTTGATGTGACTAATCAAGAAAGAAAAACTACAGGACTGCACCGGTCCCATTGCTACAAGAATGACATTCCCATGGTCCTCGTGGTCCTGAGTATAATATAATTCAATTTAAATGAGCTTCAAAGTTCCCTTTACTGACAAAGGTATTCAACTTTGTTAAACACAGAAAGAAGAAATGATGATGGCACATATTCACATTCTGTTCATCCCAAAACAAATAGGTTTTATGTTGTACATAAAATGGGTCCCTCTACACTCAGCATTATAAATAGAAGGGAATGAATGTGTATCCTAAAAGGCTAAATAGAAAGAACTGAGTTGACAGACATAGCAGGAAAGGGAGATAAAAATGATACACAGGGAGCGAATGAAAGAGATTTAGAGGGAGAGAAACAAAAGAGTGCTTGCCAACATGTTAGTGGGAGGGATTTTGATCTGTGGGGGCCAAGGGATCATGAACATGATGAAGTCTGTCCGTGTCCGACCTGTTTTTATCAGGGATGCCAGTTTTCAGGCAATTGCCTGAATTCAGGCCCTGGCAAGTTATTTTCAGGCCATAGTTTAGGCTATTTTGTGTACAAACTAGCTCATTCCAGGTGATTTTCAGGCCCTCTGATCAATTCTAGCTGGCATCCCTGTTTTATGCGATTGTGTTATTAAACCAGGGAGATGTAACTGACATCTCCCTGAGTGGGATTTAAAAAGGGTGAGAGAAAGAGAGAGAGAGAGAGAGAGAGAGATAGAGAGAGAGAGAGAGATAGGGAGAGAGAGAGAGAGAGAGAGAGAGATAGGGCGAGAGAAGGGGGCAGGGAGAGGGATATAAAAAGGGAAAAGGGGGGGGGGGGCTGTAGGGGAGTAAGAGAAATTGCAATAGATGAAGGAGATGGAGTCTGTCAAACCTTGCCATTGTTTAACCACAATGTGTGGGGGAAGTCTTTAATGATGCGTATAATCCATGGGTTTTTGACTGGCTAGTAGGTTGTAAACAAGAACAGTCCATAGGATAATATTCTGGTACAGGGTATAAGGAATATGAATATAGTGTTTGCAATGGGTTTTGGGGAGGCCAATAAAAATATGATAAATCGATGTTAAGTCTACTCACTATTTTTATTTCTGCAGACACAATCTTGCATTTTGGTCAGTTTTATTTGTAAGCCATCATTTCACCCTTTTTTCACATGGTATTAAAATTCCAGGAAAGTAATTTTCATGAGATTGAAATTTTTGTCAAATAAATGCCATTTTTGTCATGTAATATTAATGTTACATTTTTAGCCTGTATGGTGATCATAATATTCCCCTAATATCTTTTCTAACTGATGGACCAGCATTAAGGTGTGATTATACAATATATTAGACTAATTAGAGATACATGTAACTCTTGCATCCTGGTCAATTCACCCTGATTTCACGTGGTGTGAGGATGGACTTCCCCGGCCCTTTCATTAATTTTTATTAATTGGATGGAAAGTTTTTGTCAAATAATTGCCAGTCATGTAATATTATTAATGATGAGTGTTTAGTCTGTATGATGGTCATAATATTCCCCTAGTATCTATCCTAACTTCTTTTAATTAATGAACCAGCCCTAAGGTGTGAATATACATTATCTTGGAGATATTAGTCTTGGTTTCAATCTTCATGCATCTGCAAGTTTGTATGCATGTCTTTTACATGACTATTTCTTTGAAATCTATGTTCTTTCCCCAGATATAAATGTACTTTCCCCTCTTGTATATAATTGATGCTTAATTGTCCTTGAGAGTGATACAAGTGCTTAGGTTGGCATACAACTTTTTTTTTAATGAGAGTTGTAACCTCATAAATGAAAAACATAACAAATTTGTCACAGATGATTTAATTATCTGGATGATTACATGTATGTCATCATTGTCACGGGGTACTTCCCATCTTGACTCTTATTGGTATTTTTAACAGAATATTTCTACAGATTTGTTGTTTTTGTTGTCTAAAGATCAGTAATATACAGATACTGTGATCCTACAGATCAGATTATAATGCAGGACATACATTATTGCGTGCAAGAAGAAAAAAGATTTTGCAAAAAATAGCAAGATTTGAGAATTGGATAGAAGAGAGCTTGATGATTTTTATGGGCATAAAAGAGAAGGAAAGAAGGAAAGATTGTGTACGGCATGGTAAATAATGGCCCCAAGTATTACAGTACATAAAGATCTCCTTGACAAAACATGTTGTATATTTCTATGAAATCTAAATATCTATTATATGAATTATGATAGATGCTCTTTCCCCGGAGATACATGTACTTTCTCTGAATTACGTCATGTACATGTACATGTACATTTAGATCTCCCTGACTGAAAATCTTGGAATTGGGGTTATCCAATATCCAGTAGCATACTCAAAATAAATTTGAGTAAAAAGGGAACACTAATCACATTGTAATTTATTACTTGAACTTATATTGATTGAATTCACTGCCCCCCTCCTCCTCCCCCTCTCCCCATTCATTGTACATTCTGTGTTTAAGGAGGTCCTCTGTGTTAGGAGGCCCTCAGATTATTGTATCTAGAAAAAATTAGAGGTGTTATATGATTCCATTTCATATGTCAAAGTTTGTTAGCTTTCAAATGTTTCTGTCTTTATTTGGCTTCATGTAATTAAGATATTATATGTGTAGCTTCTCATTGGTATAACCACACAGACACAGATCTTTACTTTAAGGCTCGGGGGGGGGGGGGGGGGGGGGTGGGAGGGAGCAACATATCCATGATATTCAATGCCATGGCATAAGTGTATGTACTATCATGTAATTGATTTCTTCTTCATCTTTCTCTTCATAGGGGGATTTCTCTCCGAGGCAGGCTGGTTCTGTAATGCTGAGAAGGTATATGAGGCATGCTTGAGATTATGTAAACCAGAGTCAGATCAGCAGAGGGTGATACGAGCATTTGAATGCACAACAAGGTTAGTAATGTGTCATGGGTTTTGTGATATAATTGCAAAGTAGACAATATTTTTTTTTTAAATCTCACTGTTCATGAAGGGAACATATGAATTATATATCAAGGATTCTCTGGCAGGGGGCACAAGTCAGAAAAGCAAACACCCCCCCCCCCCCAAAAAAAAAAAAAAAAAAAAAATTATAACTAGAAATTGAATTCGTCATGGTGACGAATTAGGTGGTCTGTTTTCAATTTTATGATCATTAAAAAATGTCAAAAAAGAAAAAAAAAATGAAGAAAAAAAATTGTTGGAGCGCCCGGACTCGAACCAGGGACCTCGAGGTCAGAAGTCAAGTGCGTTACCGATATACCAAAACATTTCCCATAGAGAATACACGTAAACGGAAAATGGAATTCTCAAATCCCTCTTTGCAAGGGAGATATGAGCATGATCCCGGCATCTGATCGAAAAAAAGGGCACACTGGTGATAGCTTATTGTCTCAGCTACAACATACTCAAAGCTCAGCGTAAACAAAAATAAAACGACGGAGATATTGCTCCCGAAAGACAAGAATGTAGAATCCGGTTTTGAGAAAAAGTCATGTCCCATAGAGAATACACGCAAAATGTGAAAAATTGACATGCCTCCTTTAATCGCAAAAATACGCCATGATGCCTTTGTCAAAATGAAATATCGTGGTGACTGCATTTGTAGAAAATATTCTCAGGTAGAACATATCCAAATTTGAAAGAAAATTGATCAACATTTGCAGAGATACAATCAATTTTCCAAAAATCTGCTGACGTCATAATATGCAAATTGATATTTTGAGTTCAGAGGCCATTATGATGACATCATGAGTTAATTGAGGGTCAAATGAGACATGAAATCATATCTCCAACTCATGCTTTTTCTAACCATGATATAAAAATTGGGGTCAATGGACTATCTGAAGAGCTATTTTGATTTTTAAAATGTCATGTTTTTGATCAAATTTGCATTATATTTTCCGTAGCAGCACGCGCGGATTTTGAACTTTGACGCGCGCTCACAGCCTTATGAAAGGTCAAGAGTGACTGAAATTAATATAAATTGTCATTTACGGTAAGAGGAATCTGAATCATGTATAAAATTTGAATTTGACGTTTTCTGCGCGCTGCGCGCGCAACGCGCGCGGGGAACACGTACGGACGGAAAAATTTGAAATGCTTAAAATAACCTGATTCGTACTCTCGTTCAATAGTTAAGTGATTTTGAGCATTTTAAAATTTTGACGTGCGCGTACGTGCGCGTCATGATCTTTATGTGACCTTTGATGACATGCGTTGTTGACTCTTGACCTGAAGTGTATGTGATATGAATATGAATGACCTTTGCTTATGCGTCATGAAGATATGATGGATAACGTGATTTCACAAAATGGCGCCTGGATGACGTCACGATGACCTGATGACCTTGAAAATGTTTCTGTCACGTCTCATGATAATGACCTATGACTGTGCCAAAATTGAACGAAATTGATCAAACTGATCTTGAGTTATCTTGTCCACAAAAAAGTGAAGAAATAAATAAATAAATAAATAAATAAAGAAAGAAAATTCTGACGAAAACAATAGGTGATCTGTCGTTGACAGACCACCTAATAATGATAAATGCTAAAAATATTGTAATAAAAATAATAGTACAAAAAACAAATATAAATAATATATAAATAAATTATATATATTAAAAAAATAATAATAATAATGACGAAGGTCAACAGGATATTTTTTTGTTTATGGCAAAATGAGAAGACCTATTTGTATTCTTCTTCTTTTTTTTATGGGGGGGGGGGGGCTTAATATGTACTTGAGGTTTGTCATATTGGGTTTTGCCTGGGGACATTTTAGAGTTGTTATTGTTCTTCCTTATTGGTCACATGAAGCGAGCTCTAAAGCGAAAAAGGCAAATCTTCCTCCAAATTAAGTTTAATAGTACCGGTGAGAAAGGTTGAAATGATTGTTTGAAAACAATACGATTTAGTAGTGGTTATTTTAACTGACTGCTAAGAAAGCATAAATGCTTGTAAGTAAGCAACCAGTCGGCCGACCGCTTTAGGTCCTCTCCGAAGGACCTGGTAATGAGGATTAATACCTTACCAAAGGGCACGAGTGCATCGCCTTGGTTTTGGGTCACCAGATTACGAGACGACTGCTCTACCAACTGAGCTATCGCGCCTCCTACAGGTACTCTTGATAAGAAGAGCACTGCTATTTATTTTAATTCATTATAGATCTGCATCAAATAATTCCTCAACATGTTGTTCATCTTGCAATATTCAGGTTAATACACGTGCGGAATGCCAATTGCAAGTACAGCCAGGCTGAGGACTCTTACAACTCTGCCCGTAAGCTCCTGGAGGATCTCAAGGAGATGGGTGTGACCGTCAACGAGGCTGCGCTTCACGGCGAGATGTGCTCGCTCCTCTTCTCCAAGAGCCACTACGACGAGGCGTACAAGTCGTGCCAGGCGTCCCTGCGTTCCATCTCGGCCCGTCTACCCGTACGATGTGTTATAGATATTCTGCGCCAGGCGGCCAAGGCGTGCGTGGTCAAGAGAGAGTTCAAGAAGGCGGACTTGCTCATCAAGCATGCAGTGTGTCTCGTCAGGTTAATGCTCTTTCTCTATTAAACTATTATATATTTACATTCTTCATTAGGCCTTTAAAAAAATATCATGTTTAGCGTCCCCACTTGCTTCCTTTTGGGGGGGCTGACTCCTTTTCTTTTTCTTTTAAAAAAAAATAGAAAAGAAAAAAGAACATGAAAAACATACTTCTAAAATGATTTATTTCTGATTTTAAAAAAGAAAAAAAGAAATTCTTTCGGCCTTGAAAAATAACCCAACTGTCGGGGAAAATGTAGGTAGAAAACGTACCGAGCAGCCATTTTGTACTGTTATTACATCTCAAATTACTTGAGTTAGCAATAAAAATGTGTGGGGAAGATCCTCTTCTTGAAAATCAGAGACTCTCACAATATTAATCATGACTGCCATTGATTGCAAGAAAAACTTTTACACATTGCCCCCCAAATCAGTCGCGATTCACTATTCTGCTGCATGAAATCTTCATGAATCTGGAGCAAGATTAAAAGTCATGAATGTTTCATTTACTCCAAATCTAAAGCATTCAAGGAATTCCTTCCTACCGGGTACACATTAATTTCACCTGGATGAAAAGTGGCAAATGAAAATTAAAGTTTTGCCAAAGATCATTAGTGCCATGGCGGGACTTGAACCACGAACCTTGCAATCCACAGTCTGGTGATGTATTTACTAGACCACGACACCTCTTCAGATGTATTTCATTGACAATAGATTTGATGATTAACTCTTATTTATTTCTCTTTTCAGGGAACATTTTGGAGTAAGGCATCCCAAGTATTCAGATGTTCTCTTAGACTTTGGCTTCTATTTGCTCAATGTAGACTCGATATGCCAGTCAACAGCAGTGTATCAGGTAAGTCATATACATAGATTCTTTGTTTGACAAAAGCATTTCAGAGGTTTCTATACGTCTTCTCCAATTGTCATCAATTATGTTTATATTCTACTCTTTCATAGTTTCAACAAAAATATAAATATATACCGAATGAAATTTGCTAATTTTGTACATGAAAATAGTGATCATAAATTCCACTCCATCATTGCCAATTTAAGAGACTTCACTTATTATTTGTCAAACAGTTTTCAGTTCCCTCCCAAAATTTACCAAACATCAAGAAGTTGCCAATTTTGTTCATGAAAATAGTGATTATAAATTCCACTCCATCATTGAAAATAGAGACTATTATTTGTCAAACAGTTTTCAGTCCCCTTCCATAAAGAGCTATAAACCTAATATTGTATTTCTTTGCCACCTGTCATTTTTCAGCAAGCGCTGGATATCCGGTTATCAGCGTTTGGAAGAAGAAAACTCTATGTTGCAGTAGCCCATTTACACTTGGTCAATCAGTTTTCAGTCCCCTTCCATAAAGAGCTATATACTTAATATTGTATTTCTTTGCCACCTGTCATTTTTTAGCAAGCGTTGGACATCCGGTTATCAGCGTTTGGAGGTAGGAACCTCCATGTAGCAGTAGCCCATGAAGACCTAGCCTATGCATCCTATGTTCATCAATACAGCTATGGCAAGTTTGATGACGCAAAGTGAGTAGCAACATGCCAGCAACAACTTATCATTTACATACATCTTAAGCTTTTACAAGCAAGAAACAAGAAATAAAAGAACAACATCCCCTTCTTCATTTTACATTCCGGAAATCAGGCTGATATTTACAACTTTAATTACCAAGTTTATTGATTCGGTTATTGATTTATAATGCTGTCTTTGTAGCATTTTTGTCTGAAATACATACATTCAATGGTAATACTTATGCCGTAAATAATTTCTCGTCATGGTGCACATTCTCTGAATTTTTAACCAAGCTGAATTTGTTTATAGACATGATGCCTTTTTTATGTGGTAAATAGCAAACTTAAATGGCACATTTTCTCTAGACCCCAGAAAATCATAACTTTTGTGGACACAATTATACTGATACAGCGTCGACATAGGGATCGTTACATACCACATGTTGATAGAGAAACATTGATGCCAATGTCTATTGAAATGCTTTGGTATTTTGTCTTTTTCCATGTCCAGGGAGCATGCAGAGAAAGCAATCAGTATCATCACCCAAATCTTACCTGAAAATCATCTCCTGCTGGCGTCCTCTAGGAGGGTAAAAGGTAGGTATTTAAGACAACTTTCTTTTACATTTAACAAATGTTTCATTGGGTTTAATCCCAAGTTTACATTGATTAGTTAAACATTTTCAAGTTTTCTCTATCATTACGGTTCTTTCCGGATTGTTCTGAAAATCTAGTGTATAGGAGAAATTCATTTTCGTGTGCATGCACGTATATCAATATGCAGATATACACTTATCCAGATATATCAGTGGTATTTCAAATGCAAGCCTACAGGTTCCTTTGGGGAAGAACTTTCGTTACCAAAGTTGTCACATTGTATATCTGATACTTCAATTAAATTGATAAAAAAGGATTTTTTGCTCTTTATTTGTTGAGCTTGAGCTTCATGCACATATGAATATCTCGTTCAGAATTCTGAATTTGAAATGTTTGCTTGTGTCTTTTTCAACCTTGAATATCTGCGAGAATGAAACAATGGATTTGCTGTCTTGTGATTATTGCAAAAGCACAGAGCAATTAATTATGTATATTTTGCTGACCTTAATAGCTCTTTGTTTTGAGATAGCCATACACAAGGATATCGAGACCAAGCTACTCTACCAGGGGGGTGTTTCACAAAGATCCTAAGTTGAACTTATCTCTAAGTTGGACTTAAATATTATGGAGAGCCATTTGTAGCCTTAAAATAAAATATATTCCTAAGTGAAAATTTAAGTATTTTAGACTTTTTATAAATTCCACATAAAGAATATGAAATCTCCTTGATTAAAGAAAATATGAATGATTTGAATCAACATTTTACGCCTTTTAAAATAACTTTTACAAAATATTTTCAAAGATGCTTACGGCTTTCCATAATTGTTAAGTCCAACTTAGAGATAAGTTTTACTTCGGATCTTTGTGAAACACCCCCCAGGCATATGAGCTCCCAGCCTCACTCAGTCTTGACCTCTATTTGACCTCTAGTCAACCTCTTTTCTGTGCTCTGCAGTCCCATTACTATAATCTTGTGTCTTGTTTTTATTATCATCATCAGCGCTTATTCTAGAGGAGATAGCGATCGATTCCCATGATAAGGATATCGAGACCAAACTACTCCAAGAGGCCCACGACCTCCACCAATCGTCACTCAATCTTGCCAAGCAGGCCTTCGGAGAGTTCAATGTTCAGACCGCTAAGCATTATGGGAATCTTGGAAGGCTTTACCAATCAATGAGGAAATTTAAGGTGCGCATTATTTGTAACTCCCATTCTTTAAAGGGACTTGGTAACATTGTTCAGATGAGAGATAGTGGTGCTTAGGTAGTGACTTCAATGCTAGATCTACAATTAAAGATAATCTTAAAGTTTCAGTGAAAACGGACCATTATTCATGGTACAAATTGGGAAAAACTGATCTGATCGATTCCTTAATTCTCCCAACTATATTATTACAATTTAATTACATTTTAGGTGAATGGAAATCTCACAAGGAAATAAAATGGCTCTACATTCCATTCCATACATTAAAGTGTTGACAGATTTTTTACAGCCTGTTTTATGTCTTTTTTTCATGAAAAAACGGTTGGGAAAATTCAAAAATGGTTGGGAGAATTTACTTTTAATCACTGTTAGAGGGTGTCGTACATCGACGCCTTCAAAGAAAACCATAGATATCTTCGTGGTTTGAGAATTTTTTCAGGATTTTTTGCATTTCGGAGGGTAAGTACAGTAGAAGGTATATAGTAAGTAACATTTTATACAAAAATTAAGCAATTTTTTTCATCAACCTTCAACAATGTTACCAAGTCACTTTAAAGGCCGCCTGTACTAGTGTGGACAGGAGGGATTAGACCACCCAGCGAGGTCATTGACAGGTGGCTATCTCACAAACTCAGCTCTCAATCAACATAAGAAAAAGAGGATCATGGGGGACCAACATGCACCAATTAGGCATTGTTTTCTATATAGAGGGAGCAAGTAGCTACAAGTAGTACAGAGGGGCTTTAAATGTTTAATGTTATACATTCTCTCATATTAGATGGCTGAGGAGATGCATGTGAGGGCGATAGAAATCAAGGAGAAACTCCTGGGTGAAGAAGACTACGAGGTAGCGCTGTCTGTGGGTCACCTAGCCTCTCTCTATAACTACGACATGAAGCTTTATCACCAGGCTGAGAAACTCTATCTCCGATCCATTGAAATAGGTGAGTTCAGGACATTTTTCCTCCTTCTATAGTTGATCTCAAGGAAGAATCAGGAAATATCATTTGTAGTAAGGTTTTTGAGCTGACCAGAATCTTGTGGTTTGCCCGAAAGTACCATGCTATTTAAAGGGAATGCAGGGCTGCGTACAACACTATTATTATACTCTATTATATGCATATTACTTGATCGATGCATTAAAGGTATTGTAAGAAATGTGATGCACACTGGGCTTATCTCGTTTCGGGGCAGCAGTCTTGTGAAGTGGCTTACTGCCTCACATCTGAATGGGTCAGTTGGAGTAATCCTGTTTTGTATCTACGATCCGGTTCCCTCGGGTAATCGGCTCCTTACCAGGAGTTGAATCTCACTGAAGTGTAGAACCAAAGGCTGGTTTAAAGTGCACTAAAGATTTTTGTGCAGGAGAACTTTGAGCAGATCTGCGGTTGTTGAAAAGAAGGGCCTTCTTAGAATATCTATTGGTCCCATTGTATCTTCAGTTCATGTTGCCTAGGACTTCAGGCATTCTAAATCAAACCTGAATGTAATATACATTGTATGTCTGTCTTTTGTATACCTCAGGCAAGAAGCTGTTTGGCTCGGGCTACAGTGGCCTAGAGTACGACTACAGGGGACTGATCAGCCTGTACTACAACACCTCCAACCATGCTCGCATGTTTGAGTTCCAGGACATCCTCAACCATTGGAACAACATCCGCGACGGGAACAGCAGTCCTGTGGACATCCTGGAATACCTTGCAAACTGCAGGACGGAACTCACTACGAAGGAGATCATTGATAAGTTCTTCAAGATTGATTAACACCCTGCTCTTGGACACCTGACCAGCTGCAGGACGGAACTCACTACGAAGGAGATCATTGATAAGTTCTTCAAGATTGATTCACCCCCTGACCAGCTGCAGGACAGAACTCACTACGAAGGAGATCATTGATAAGTTCTTCAAGATTGATTACCCCCCCTGTCCTTGAACACCTGACCAGCTGCAGGACGGAACTCACCACGAAAGAGATCATTGATAAGTTCTTCAAGATTGATTACCCCCCTGTCCTTGAACACCTGACCAGCTGCAGGACGGAACTCACTACGAAGGAGATCATTGATAAGTTCTTCAAGATTGATTACCACGAAGGAGATCATTGATAAGTTCTTCAAGATCGATTAACCCCGTCCTTGAACACCTGACCAGCTGCAGGACAGAACTCACCACGAAGGAGATCATTGATAAGTTCTTCAAGATTGATTACCCCCCTGTCCTTGAACACCTGACCAGCTGCAGGACGGAACTCACCACGAAGGAGATCATTGATAAGTTCTTCAAGATCGATTAACCCCGTCCTTGAACACCTGACCAGCTGCAGGACAGAACTCACTAATGAAGAGGTCAATGAGACGTTCTTCAAGATTGTCTTTTCCTTAAAGTCTCTGTGAATATCTTTGAATAACTTGCCAACTGCAGGATAGAACTCACCTCCAAGGAGATCATTAATTGGTTCTTTAGAATGGAGGGAACATTTATTCTTCAATACCTGACCAACTCTATGACAGCATTCTCCACCAAAGAGATTGTTAACCAGTCCTTCAAGATTGACTATACCTCCACAGCTCTGTGGATATCCTTGATTACTTGGGCTACTGTAGAACAGAACTCATCACCAAAGAGATCATTTGTATGTTCTTCAAGATTAATTATCCTTTAATGCTGTGTGGATATCCTTCATTACCTGCACAACTGAACGACCTGCAACAAGGTCATCGCAAGTTCTTCAAGATCAACAAATCCTCTTCTCCAGAGAGTTCTACTGTTCAGGTTTGGAAAGAACACTACAAAGCTTGTACTCGCGCTCCATGTATCTGCAGACTGCAGTGTACATCACCACATGTTTTATTTGTATGTGAAGGATATCGAATGTACATGCAAGCACCTTCTCATTCATTCCCATTCCTTTGAATTACCAGTGAAGCTGTAAACCACTTTGGTAAATATGCATGATCAAGTTATTCCAGGGTAGGTTAGACGATCAAATTCAACCAGTGTCTTTTTGTTCCGAGGAAGGAAGATATTTACTTTCATGTACATACAGATATGTGGAGTTACTGTCTTTAACTCTTATCCTGCTGTAATGAATACAGCCCAGTGCCACAGGGCTAATCCCCATTGTGCCAAACCACAAATCCCCCCTGTGCCAAGTTTATTTTGAGATAATCTGATGGTGCGTGCGAAGCACTCAGCACATTACAATGAGCATGAACAATAACGGCTATTGCAAATGCGAGAATGCATGCATTAAGCAGCTAAGCTGTGGCTCGCTTGCGTGAATTAAGCAGCCAATCGATATCGTGTTCGCGTGTACAAAGCACTATAACGGTAGCGTGCATGCGGCCTTATGGCAGGATATGAGTTAAGGCTGATATGAGTGAGCTTAGTGAAGCCAGTGTATATTGGTTATAATGGCTTTTTCTTCTTATCAGAGTTCTTTGATGCAGGTTTTATAGTGTTGTCGCTTCATGAAAGCCTGGTACACATGCAGAATTGAATCACTTTCAATTTAGACACCGTTTTTTCTTAATTATCATCATGATTATAGGATTTTCTGTCCATTTTAACACTTTTTTTCATTCAAATTAATCTTTGTGCACTTTAATTTTGTCCTGGAAATCAGGGATTGTGCAAAAGTCAAAGTTGATTTAGTCATTTTGGGTCAATGGCCAATTAGTTTAAACACTTGATTGGACTTCGAAAATGATTGACCAAAGACGAAACTACCTATAAGATTAGCAAGTTTGGGATGTTTTGGGGACAAAATTGAATGAAAAATGTATGAAATTGAATGAAAAAGGTGTTAAAATGGACAAAAAGCCCTATATTTTTATCACATTTTTAAAAATCAAGTGATTTCATTTCTGGATCTGTAATCAAGACACCATGAACACCATTGAAGATGTTGCAAGGTGGAACACATATGGCCAACAAATAAAACATATATGTCCATTTTGTGCAAATTATATTTTGTTTTAAATGCCCAATTACCCATTTTCACTGTCCAGCATGACATGTTGGAATTTTGCAAAGGGTACTCTATACACTTGTGTAATCAGGGCCTTGTTGCATGAAACTGTAAATACCATTGATGTTCACTTCAATGGAAACTTTAATTACATTGGATATTGAGTGATGTTGCAAATAGTACCGGTAGTTACACTGTAATGTTGATGGCAAAGTTACCATCAATGGTAAGTTTTATGCAATAGGCCCAGATCATTTACAAGTACATTGGAACACCTAAGGCCAGTTAGGGGTAAAAGGTGCAGAAAGTTGCACAAACTTTTTTAAAAAGCGTATTCTTGTCATATCTACATATTTTAGCTTTAGTTTATTTAATGAAAGTAGATGGATGATAAATCTTCTATTAATCTGTGACGCATATTAAAGTCATTGTGAAAATGGACACATAGCATGAGCAAAAAAGCATTAAGCTGCTATTATTTATTTATAAACTCATCAAACATTTTCTGCAATTAAAGTTTTAGCATTGATATATTTCTTGTTTATACAATGTTATCATATTTGACATTGTTATCATTGAACATCCTGTTTATTCCCCTTTACAATAATGTCCAATTTGTAATGTTATGTAGTAATCCTCGAGAGTGCAGTACACTTGAATATAGGGCCAAGTCAAAAGTGAAATTTTCCCCCAAATCCATTGTTATTCCTTTAAATCATAATCCATGTCCAAATCAAACAAAGAATTCACTATCGACAGTAACAATGCATTTTGCAACATTAAGAAATCTACATTACCGGTAATACCATTCGTAAGTTCATGCTCATCTTTGTAAATATAAATGTCTTAAGCAATATACACAAAAACTAAATGGGTTCTCTCATCTGTTAAACATTTTGTTTTCCTTTTTGTTATCAGTGCAATTCAGAACACAAAATATGAGACTTAAAATTGATGACTACAGGTATACAATTTGCATTTTGGATTTAAAAAGTATTGATTTGCTGATTGTTATGGTGGGAAAACTATCTGCTACTACAATCACTGACCCTTCATGTGTAGCGGTCAAACCTGTCTATTAAGGCCACCCTAGGGCCCTAGTTCTACAAATCTATACACATATTTCTTTCTTTCTAGTTTAAGTAAATGCACACTATGTGACCACTGTATACAGATGTTCTTTAATCTTTATACAGTGATGACCAGGTTTGATGTACTAGTTACATACATGTACATGCATATCCCATCAGATGTAACATAATAGAAAAATTAGAATCAGTAATTGCCAATATCTTTCAGATGAGTTTATTTGTGAGTTGGGCATCAGCTGAATAGATATTTAATTTTCGTATTGCATCTCATGTAGTTTTGGGAGAGAGTCATTATGACTTTTTTTTTTTTAAATTAACTATTTAAGACCACTCTGTGAAATCCTGTACTCTTTACCACCAGGGTATAAACTATAGTCAAACCTGTCTATTAAGGTCACCCAAGGGAAGCAGAACAAGTGGCCTTTCTAGACAGGTTCTACTACACTCACTTCTTTCTTGTGGGAGACAAAATACATGCCACCATAGACAGGTGGGCTTTAAAGAGAGGTGGCCGCTAAGACAGTTTTTACCTTGTATTCTTGTGCAAGCATAGCTCTATTATAATCTGTATTCCAGTAATATATTGTGTTCAAACCTTATCCTCTCTGTGTATACCACTCCCACTCCCCCCCCCCCCCCACCCTGAAAAAGAAGAGATATACTTCTTGTATAAAATGCCCTATTTACTCTCTTCATAACACTTCTAATGAAAGATACATATTCATTTGTTTGTTGTTCAAATAAATAAGCAAAAATGCCTGAAAGGGTATGTTCTTTATAATGAGATTGGCTGTAATTTAATGGAAATGTTGCTTTGTTGTTCATAATTGACAGCTCATTGTAGATAAAAAAATGGCTGAATATAGGAAAAATAGGAAAATAGTTTGCATTGAATTCAATGTTCATTTATATATGAAAATGAGGCCTTGGTGTTGATCGAGGCAGTATTGTGTTTGTGATATTTGCAATTTCATGGAATTGTCACTTTGTTTGGGAATCTATCAACTAGGTTTAGATTGAGGCAACATTTACAAAGCTTTGAATTATTAGAAACAGTCATAATTGTTTATGTCAATGCAATATAAGGGTTTTTATCCTGCATCACCGTTCATACATATCAATTTATATATTTACTTTCATGTCACAGATTAATTCTTTGCTTTTACAATTGTTTTTTTATTTTGAGGGAATGACTTATATGCTTTCAATTATGTTTTTTTCTCCTTTGAATGGGACACAGCAGCAAAGATTTTCAAGAGTTCAACTTCCGGGCAATTTTAGTACCCTGTTGTATTGCTTGTAGTTCGGAACTTGTGTTCTGATTTAAGTAATGTGCCATTGTAATGTCCACACATTTCTAAGCAAGCGGACAAGGTTATTGAAATTTTCCTAGGTTTATTTTTTTGAAAATCTTTGGTAATTGTGTTATAGATTATCAGACAAAGGATAGCAGGATAAATAATCATGAAAGTTCATTTGCTTCTCACATTTAAAGCAATACTGGACTGATGAACTTTCTGCCCTAGCGTTTATTGCACAGCGCCATCTCATGGTCAACTTGCCAACAGTGCGTAACCCAATACCTAATGTCCACTTTGCGGACAGAGGACTCGATGCAAGAACCAATAGTGCAGCTAGGGATGCAGCGAGTTACGAGACCACACTGTTACAGCTGACCTGAGTTGGCGCTAGAGGGGATTTCGCTGTAGGGCTTCTAGGACAGTATGGGTGGTATTCTCGAAAGCGGACTAACTTTAGTCAATGGTTTAATCCTCCGACTAAGTATGGAATGCCAAGTGTCCATATGAATATTTATTGGGATTAATTTGATATATCCCGATATTACCATGATAACATGATTATTTCATAGTTATATTGTTAATTAATTATGTTATTAATTTTTTTTTAATTTAGTGACATATTAAATTATTGAAAAACATATCCACATGGACACTTGGCATTCCATAATTAGTAGGAGGATTAAACCCCGAGCTAAAGTTAGTTCTTTTGTGAATACCACCCTTTAAATTGATGTAAATTTTGATGGAATGTCAGTGACTTGTAAAATGATCAGTATTGGATACAATGGGGTGGACCGATTTTGGGGAGGGCAGCCTCTGAAACTAAAATGTTTAAAAGCCCACATGTGAACGTGTGATCTGCCTATCATATATTGGTGTAGACACATAGTGATTTTTTTGTGAGTGCTGAGAGCTAGCTGCGATTTGTAAATAAGATATCAGTATAAATATATATGTCGACTTGTTTAGAGCATCGCAAAAGTTGCGTGAGCTTGAGTTTTAAACCTGTAAAAAAGCAAGAGATGGCTTGTGCGCGTTATATACATGTACTTGTAGAGTGGAGAGCATGTGACATATATACCAAATATACATGGAAATACGTATAGAACTTCTTACTAGTGTGGTTGTGTTTGATTTCATTGTACTGTTATCTAACCTCAATGCATTTTTTTTTCTTCAAGAAATCAACTCATGGGGATTAATATACCACATTGTATTGTCCATAGAAATCATCTTTGGATTATGTAGAGGTGTTGTGGGCGAGTGGATATGTCACCGGACTGTGGATCACAAGGTCCGCGGTTCAAGTCCCACTGCGGCACTAATGTCCTTTGGCAAGACATTGATCTACATTTGTCACTCTCCACCCAGGTGTTAAGTGGGATGGTAGGATGCGACAGCTAATGTGCTTAGATTAGCAAGTGTACGCTTTAACAAATGACGCCTGGCTGGAATGCTCCCCGGGAAGTGGAGAATATGCATACATTGTGTGCGGGTAAGCCTGAATCCGAGACCGGGGTAATAATATATATATATATCCGTAAAGCGCTTTGAGAGGGGCTTCGGTCTTGAAAAGCGCTATATAAGAACTAGCTATTATTAATGAGTCTTTGCTGTATTCACTCTTTTCAATCGATGATGGACGAGGTCTTTGTGATTGCCTCAGCTTGATTTCTTGAAAGTCTGTATGATCATGGTATATGCTCGTAAGAATACAGTTTGACTTCAATACAAAACTAAATGCAATCTAAATTTGAAATGGACTTTAATATGACCAAGAAGAATAAATGATAAGAGTTGAGGTCTATATAAGTCACTAAACTATTGATCGCAAAGTATTGTGTTGAAGTCCCTATCACGTCACTAACCTTGTGCCAGACATTAATCTACACCATCTCCCATGAAGTTGGAATTTTTTTTCTTACCTCTTTTCATGACATGATTGTGACGATATAGTTTATTCCTGATAGATAGAGTTTATGTGCAACAGTGTACATTTAGCAGCCATGCTCTTCCCTTTTTTTCACACTTACTATCTCAATCTGTCTCTCTCTCACCCCTACACACTACTACAAGTATATTCCACGAGAGCTTAGATACAAGGCCACACAATGAATATGTTGTCTATGAAGTCAAAAGAAAAGGGCCAAGACATGCAATTCAAAGTATATAAAGTATAAACAAGCAGTTTAATTACTTGGGATACCTAAAAGCAACATGGCAAGTACATACTTCGAGAATAAATTGTTAAAGCAATACAATGAAAGGCAATATGCCATTACATGATCAAACTATAGAGGAGTTGACACTAAAAGCAGCAGTTACAAGAAAACTACAAACCCAACTTTAAAGGATATCTTAATACATAAAGTTGTATGTATTTTTGAGTCGAGGTATGGATGTAGAATGCAGTAGTACAGTGGAACATTCTATGGCCAATGGAATTTACCTTGTTACATTGAAACCTTGTTATTCCGGGGCCAAAAAGGGAAGTCCACCCTGATATTTAGTTGGTTTTAATAATAGCAGAAAATGAGAGTTTGAAAGTTTTTAGCAAAATCCAATAAAAAGAAGTCAATAAATTTGTGAAGTTGTAATCAATTAAACACAAATTGGCTCTCTGTATCTTTCAAAGTCCTCTCCCATTTGATCTGTACCGAATTTTAAAAAAGTTTCCATTTTCTTATTTGTCGATGAAGGATACATTTTTTTCATACAGGGGTTGTGTAGAGTATGTGGAATGATCATCTCTAGAGGGTAACTACGATTTCCTTAGGGCAAACTTGGAGAGGAAGAACTAGCAAGATACATTCAAGAGTTTCCAATTTGCGTATTGAATTCACATCTTCCTTATCAAAAAAAAAAAAATCAAATTTTGCTGAAACGTTCACTGATCTGTTGCTCAATTGTTTTTCCTGCTTCTATTAAAATCAACTGAATATCAGGATGGATAAGAGAAACCCCATACAATACATGTGAAAAGATGTGAGACCACCAAGAGAAGGTGTTGTTACAATGTTCTTTTAACAGGAGGCACTCGTTTTTCCAAAGGTACATTTAAATATATTTCAGGATATAGATTAAGAAAAGAGCTAAATGTCTTATTTCTACTTCTCTGTTTTAACACAAGGTATAAACCACGTGATTTAGTACATGGTTATAGCATCAAAATCTAACTCTATAAAGATTGCAAACTGCATAGCAAAGACTTGTTGAATAACATAATTTGCATACAAAAACCAAGGTATTGTTCAAATCTAGCTACAATTAGCACTTTACCCAAATGAAACATTAACAAAAATACATTTAGCAGTACAATCATTATTATTTTATACATAGTTAAAGTAATATATGTAAAGGCATGACAGCAGTGACTTGCATTAAATCATTTAAAGTTATCTGTAAAACCTATAATTTTCATCATAAAATATTCAAAAAACGCTACATAACAGCAGCAGTTCAAAAATCTTTTACAGTATTTGTTGATAAGCTATTTATACACTTCAAACGTTTTTTTATATCATTTATAACAAGTTTCAAAGTCAACATTCAATTTCCAATTTAAATCCTACATTTCAAATAAAAATTAAAAAAAACGCTACATAACAGCAGCAGTTCAAAAATCTTTATAGTATTTGTTGATACGCTATTTATACATTTCAAATGTTTCTTTCTTTCTTTGTTTCATTAAAAAAAACGGTTTTAAAGTCAACATTCACTTTTCTTTTTAAATCCTACAATACAAATAAATAAAATAATGCACTTCATACCCCCTGTATCCAAAAAAGGTTAAAAAGTTAAAAACCTCCAATACAAATATTTACATAATAAACAAAAAATAAAATATGAATCCAATATCAGTAAACTTGTTTTGTTGTTAAGTTTAGAATGGGCCTTGTCATTCACAGCATTGCCAACAGCATCAATGAAATCACATTAAAAACTTTAAAAATCAAAATTTCTTTACTTTTTTTTCTTCAACAACTTCATGGCCAAGTATTAATTGTTTTTAAGTACCCAAAGATACATGTGTACACACTACTGGCAAAAAAAAATATTAACCTATACATTTGACTGGCATTCACAAATCATTCATAAAACTAGTTCATATAATGATAGTACCGATATATTTTGAAAAGTATTTAAGTTACATGATAAGAACCAAGATTCAACCACATACAAACCATGAATACATTATGCAGCCTAGTATGATAAAATAACACAATACATACATTTGATTGATTACATCAGTAATAAATGGTGAAATCAAGCAATCAACTTGATCATTTAAAAAGGTTAATAATTGGATTAAACATTAGTATAAATAAGCACACCAAGTATATGTTGCACAATACAAGACCTAATGAATTATAAGTACTATTGATAAATGATGAATACATTAATTCCATTTTCTATACCATGGTTAGTCAATACGAGAAAGAGTAAATATTATGATTAATTAGTTTTTGCCTTTGCGGTGAAGTAAAATGATATATATTGCAAGGCATTTTATAAGCATAGTCACATAATTATAATCAATATGAAAACAAAATAGTCATTCAGAATTTGGGATAGAAATAGACAAGGAATATTGTCTAACAAAGATTAACAAGAAACAGGAAAACAAACTTTTAAAAAAGAAGGAAAAAAAATATATATTTAGAAAAGAGCTAATAACATACATTTAGGGCAAGTCTAATGTATTTAGTCATCTGGTGTCCCATATCATACAATAAAATATTGTGAAGTTTTGAACACAAATTAACACCAAATGTGTCATTCCACTTCACATACGATTATCAGTCTAAAATCTTAGATGTGGTCAGTGATATATGGGACAAAATAGCTTGGTCTTGCCAAAGAAATGCAATAGGTCAAATAAGTAAATAATTTTAAATAAATTTTGCACAAAGAATGTAAAGGTGTAGAGAAGAGACCATGCACAGTTTACCTCAAGGTCAAAAAGTTGTAGCATCTACAAAATATATATTATTTAATAGGGTAAAATAAACAAATATATTTCAATTTGTTTCATGTAAAACACAGGAAACTGGCTTATCATGGACTGCAATAGGTCAAACAAGTAAATAATTTAAAATAATAATTTAGAATATAAAAGTGTAGAGAAGAGATGATGCATAGTGTACAAAATTTTCTTCAAGGTCGAATGGTAGCATCTACAAAGATACATTAAAAAGGTGAAATAAACTAATATATTTCAATTTGTTTCATGTAAAACACATGAAAACTGGATTATCTTGGACTGCAGAAACTTTCCACAACTCTACCAAAGCAAGAAAATGGTTTAAGCAAGTATGAAGCTACCGTAGTACCCTGATAACACACAGGATTTTTTTGTTGTTGTAATACTTAAAACCATTTCAAACTGACAGTATGAAGTTGCTAATTGAAAAAATTATTTGAGGGAATGGTGAACAATGGTTTCTCTGTTTACTTAACAGATGAATCACCATGAATTCTTTATATTCTGGAGGAAAAAAATATTGAATATCACTTATAGTAAATTAGGAATAATTTTGTGTCTACAAATTCAATTTGTATGTTTTTGGCCATAAATCCATAGGAAAGAGAGAGATTTGTTTATAATGCCCTGTCATACCAATGCAAATCTTTTTTTCTTTGTACATTTTTCTTCCTCTATTCTCTGGAAACAGAATGGGCAAGCCATGGGCAAAATCTAAAGTTGTAACAACAACAAAAAAGTTATAAAAGAAGGTGCATGAAAATGGTTTACTTTTAGTGGAATCGTGAAAAATACATGGAAGCAGAGAGCGATTTAACCCTTGAAAGATTCTGAAGATCTTGAGTAGAATAGCAATAGAAATGACAAAAATCACCCCAAAGAAAATCTTGTTTTTACTTTTTACAATATCTAGCAAATCAATGCTCCATGAGCAAAAAAGTAATTTTTTCTACACTTTGTACTTTGTTCTACACACCAATATTGCTTCCTCGAGCAAAGCAATATATATTTCATAACATACATGTACATCCAAATGCACAAAGTTTCAAAGGCTCACATATCTATGTGTATGATTGTGACGAATGGGTGTATTTTGCTCTCACTTACAAGGGGTTAATATTTTAATCGCCCATCCATATTATGTGAATACAATTGCTATCTGCAAACTTGCTTGCTTTGTCTGCAGTATATTGATCAAAGGTTGTGAACAAGAAATATGGCCACTGGGAGAAACCGCATGGAGAGATACATTGAAACTGAACCTTCTAAACGGAACACATCGTGATCTTATCATTTAACCCTCGATCTTTCTCGTTTGTCCTCTACACAAACATTTCGGTGAGCATCTGTCCGTCTGTTGCATTCTGGGATATCACTACCCCTCTGTTGCGTCGTAGTCTGACGATACGGCTGGGTTCCGGCTCGTTCTCTTTTGATTCCATCGCATCGGTCGATTTATCTTTTGTAGCCGCTGGCTTCTGAATGGGGATCTCTGTTAATTTACCAGAACTGCAATATTGGAGAAGAACAACACAAGGAAGAGAAGAAAATGTGAGATGGAGAAAAAGAAGTTAACAAAATAGAAGAAAACAAAAGATAAAAACTCTGACAGTATGAAAAATAGCATTCTGGAAAATTTATAATTAAAATTGTATCATCTTAATTTCCCAAAACTCTTTATAACATGATTTTTTGTTTCATCTATATGGCTGCTATTTTGAATGTTTTTTTTCTTCTTCCTTTGATAAACCAGATCAATTACACTTACAATCATCTTCAGACTAGATGAAAATGATGCCTCCGTCATAGAGCAATTTTACAAACCAAAACAGAAGAAATTTTTCAAATTCAAGTTCAATTGTAATCCATTGACAGGTTCTCAGAATATCGTGATTACAAGCAGTTTCTCATATACATGTACATATATGACCCTTTGATCTTTGACCTCATGACCACTAAATCTAATCAGTTCATCGGCTCTGCAAGTAACATACATGACCTAAGTTTGGCAGCAATCCATCAATCGGTTCTTGAGATAACGCGATCACAAGCTGTTTATGCATACATAATGAGCCCTGTGACCTTTGACCTTTAACCTCATGACCACTAAATCTAATCAGTTCATCGGCTCTGCAAGTAACATACATGACCTAAGTTTGGCAGCAATCCATCAATCGGTTCTTGAGATAACGCGATCACAAGCTGTTTATGCATACATAATGAGCCCTGTGACCTTTGACCTTTAACCTCATGACCCCAAAATCTAATCAGTTCATCGGCTCTGCAAGATACATACATGACCAAAGTTTGGCAGGAATCCATCGATCGGTTCTTCAGATAACGCGATCACAAGAACGGGACGTACGTACAGACGTACGTACGGACGGACGGACAACCCGAAAACATAATGCCTCCGGCTACTTCGTAACGGAGGCATAAAAATGATTCGGAATTGAACTCCTGTTAAAAACAATGTCAAAATATTGAATGGTACATTTGAAATAATTCTGATTTTCAGACACGCATACCTGTCTTGCTTTGTAATTGTTTGAGATAATCCTTCGCTCATGGCCTTGAATGCATCGACTCCTGATGACCTGGATGACTTTGGCCTTTGACCTGTCTGTAAGGTCATAGCATTGAGTTCTCGCAGGATGTGTCCGGGGCTGGCGTTGAGCTCGATCCTGGAGAAATAAAGAGGAACATAACATTTTGAAACTTCCTAGGGAAAAAAATCTGAATGGTCTGTAAAGGCAAATATATTAAAGCCCCACTGCACTACTTATTGCTACTTGCGCCCTCTACATAGCAAACAATGCCTATTCAATGCCTGTTGGTCCCCCATGATCCCCTTTTTCTTATGTTAATTGAGAGCTGATTTGATGAGATAACTACCTGCAAGTGACCTTGCAGGGAGGTCTAACTCAACTATGACAAACTACTGCAGAGGGGCTTTAAAAGAAGAATGAATAACTTAGGGCAAGATATCTTTCCCCCTCTCTATGTTTATCTAAAATCATTAGTCAAAATACCATAATCCTTGTCACCCCCATTCCCCTCCTCTATGAGAGTGCATTATGACTATGGGCCATGCTGAACTGCATGCAGTCAAATGCAATAATCATAATTGATTGTGGATGTACATGAAGTTATGGGCCAAGCAATTCCTGCAGTAAATTCATAATAATTTGCCTTGCTGATATGTGGCTCAGAAAAATTGCTTAAATGTAGTACATTGGAGCTTGTAAACATTTATATGCAATAGTGTGGAATGTCCATATGTACCGTATATGAACAGGACTATACTTGAAGTTCATGCACATCAAGATGTTTACATTAAAAATAATGTTTTGAATAACCTACATGTAACACTACAATCCCTTTTAAAGAATCAAGATCCAATTAGTGACAAGGTTAAATTTAAAAATAATGAAAAATACCATTCTATATATTTCTGCACCCTCTAATAAAAAAACTCTTAATTACCGGTAGTCACCAAATGGTTATTGGACACTAAATTTCAAATTCCCATAGGCTTAACACAGAGAACATCTGGTTTCTTCCAGTAAGCAAGGGGTTAACAGATGGTCTGTACTACCCACCTCTTTGGTGTTGTTCTCCTGCCACCGGTCCTAGTCCTCGTCTTGCCGTCTCTGCACGGAGTAGGAGTCTGGCCGGCAATACGGGCTGATCTCCTCAGGGGGCTGAAAGGGGTGACGGGCGTCGTCAAGCGGGATTCCTGTCGGTACCGGTGGCTGTTGCCGGGCGTGGCGTAGGGGTTTGGGGTGAGGGGCGAGTTGAGTATGAGGGCACGGGCACTTGGAGAATTAGGACTGGAGAGGGAAATACTCCAGAGTTGCTGGGGTCTCAGTTTAGGCTGTGGCGCAGCGGTGTGTTTCTTCTGTAACATCAATAGAAGTTGGAAAATAGAAAACAAGCAACAATAATTTCTACAAAACAGTTGACTTTGTTTCAAGGATCTTCAAGCAGATACACCTCAAGTTTGAATATTATTTAAGAAAGAACTAATAGCTACTTTAGCTAGCATACTGTACCCTCTCCAATATTCTACTTTGAGCTTTCAATGAAATTTAAAAAAACAGGAGAAATGCAGTCATTTGAGAAAGGAAAAGAGTATAAACACAGTTATAAATATATTTTATACATTTCAATTTTATTAATGTTTCCAACAAAACATAACAAATCAACTCTAAACATTTACAACAATTTAGGAATACATTGTACATATTGGAAACAGAGGGGTCCACTACATGAATACTGGTACTACTGTCTGTTAGCAATTTAGTTGTACATGTACCTCACCTGTAGATCAATATTCTGATTCAGTTTGAAGGTTCTTTGGATTTTTTTCCCCCTTCTAAATTGATAGCACAGGCTGCTGAAGAAAGTTTTTTTTAAAATAATTATAAACTGTTTCTATGACTCTAAGAAAGATAGATATATGTAGATAGATAGATAGATAGATAGATAGAGAGAGAGAGAGAGAGAGAGAGAAAGAGAAAGAAAGAATTTTATTCCAACTCCATTCCACTTAATAGTGAACAGTTGAACACAGAAACCAACTGCTGAATCTATTGCAATTTCCACTCAAGATGAGAAAGAGAGAGAGAAAGAGAAAGTTCAGGGAACCCAGTGGAACCATCAACAATTCTGCATACATGTAGGGTAACTCTCGAGGTGGAAACCCACTGGAAAGAATCGAATTTCTCCCGCTAAGATTTTGAATTGGCATCGATCCAGCTTGAATTTGTTGTAGTAGACTCGATGTCAAAACAGTAGACCTTGTGTTTGGAGTTTTGCGCTCTGGAACTATTTAGCCTGAAGTGAACCCAGAATTTATATTCCTAAACCACTGTTGTAGAGAAGGCTCAGATAGCGATTAAGCACATTAAGAAGAAGATTACAATCTTGTATGCATGTTATACATGTACATGTAGGAAAGAGAATGTGCTGTCAGGTGTCAGCGCAGAGAGAGAGAGAGAGAGAGAGAGAGATAGATAGAAAGAAAGAGGGGGATTTAAAGGGAGGTCGTTTTTATGTGCAACAGCTTAAAGTCCTTAATAACTTCTTGAAACTTAATGAGCCTTGAAGTTCTAAAAGAAATCATTGGATAATCAGCTGAATCTTATCTCAGACTCAAGAGAGAGAAAGTCATCAAAAGAGAGAATGTAAAGAGAAGAGAGGGAGAGAGAGAGAGGGAGAGAGAGAGAGAGAGAGAGAGAGAGAGAGAGATGAGAAATAATACAGGGGGAATGTCACTTTTTGTCAGGAAGCAATATGTAAAACAAACAAAAAATCAATGAAAAACAAAAGAATCAAAAATATGTTCCTGAATTATTGTCTGATATGATATATTATCCGAAGGCCATCACAATATGCACAGAGACAGTATATTTAGTTCAGTAACTAAACATGTACAGTACATGTGTATGCGCATGTACTGCTCAGTTACTGCCATCACTTTTTACAAAATAATTACAAGGACTCAGCTTTTTATTCCACATTCCATAGTTCCATTTATGACCTCTTTTGACTCGCATTGCATTGTAGCTCAGAGAGGCCCATGGAAGGGGTGTAGAATTTGCATTGTATCATGGGCTTTATGGCAGTTGAAATTCTGAAATTCAAATTTAAATTGATAGTTATCTTTTATGCATAAGTTCGTTTTGTAGGCCCTAAAAATTATTGTAAATCTAGTACATGTGCTGCAGTGGTTTGAAATGCTTACAAGTTGAACTGATGGAATTTAAAATGATATTCTATTTAAAATGACTGTTCTCAACTATTTTAATGAATATCATACATGTTCATGCTCGTATTCATACAGCATAAATGCCCTCAAAAAAAGAAGGAATGACTTGAAAGCCAGTATGTCTTGACTCTTGATTGTAGATTGGATTGTAGATTGGATCATTGGAGGAATTTTGTGATCATGTAGACTCCACTCAGGCAAACTTGCAAAGAAAATGCAAAGATTTGTCACAAATCTGAGCATCATTTGTGGAATTCTATCAAAAATTAAAAAAAAAGAGATAAATGTAGTTTTACAGGGGAAGTCATGTGAACAATTTCCTGCCCTTCCAAGTCTCCACATCCACTTCTTTGACAGTTAGTTTAAGAATTGTTTTTTTTTACAAATATTTTGAATTAAAGATAAAGGTGAGTTCTGGTAATGCGATTGCATCGTGAAAGAAAAGGTGTGGAATGGATCAGAAAAAGTTGATCAAGTAGCATGTAAGTATTGGTGTGCACTGCAAGGTTCTGGAGTCATCAAAATCATAATAAACCTGGCCCAGGTCTTGGTAAAGTAACAAGCACTGTACACAGAAAAATGGATATGGGATTACACAAATGGTGTCGGGGCTACCTACCTTGATTTCCTTATCTTTCTATGCTCATTACTCGGCCAGTATACATTTTCTTCCAAAAGTTATCTACCGTAATGAGGATCTGAGACATTACGGTAGATAACTTCACACATGCGCGCGCCTGCCCACAACACAACCCACTATCCGTATGCACTTGTATTGCAATGTGAAGCGGTTTGCTGTGAAACCTGTGAAAAAGTGTATAGATCTACTAGTCTACTACTAATATCAACGTTTTTTCCGAAAAATAACAAGAAAATTGACACGAAACAGGTAATATTCTAATATAAACATAACGACTTTTAACTCATGATCTTTATTTGGACATTTGATGAATATTTACTTCATTTTGGGTATGTTTTAGACTTTTAATGAGGTATCTCCACGTCGGAGTTACGGGTCAAATTTTGGATAGGTATCTGAACAAGCGCCTGAAATAGTCTACTGCACCTCAACTCAACAGAATGAATCACCTGGTCAAGTACTTAGTTTAGTTTACTTTTTTTAGAGAAAAAAACTTGGTCAAGTCCAGGATGAAAATGAAAGTTAGCAATTATTGATAAGTGCATGGATTTTACTGTTGATTGATCATGTTCATGAAGTCCTGTTTACATACCGCTTTCGCTTTGAACGTGCCCCATGCTTTCTTCACAGTCCTCAGCCGCCGGGTCGCCGTCCCTCTGGCTGTCCTCAAATGCTGCAACCCCATATTCACCACTTCCAGCGGCTCAGCAGCAAAATGTTGTCTCTTGTCCGTTGAAAGAAGGTGGTCACCTTGGTCTTTCTCGGCTTCGTTTTCTGAATAATCCTGATGTAAATCATTTGGAACTCTCAGATTCATTGAATGAACTCGAGGAGAAAGCAGACTGCAGCTTTCGTAAGACATCGCTTGAGGATTTCAAATGAAATTACGGTTTTAAAAGGTTTTGTCAAACAGCGGCGTGATGTTTATCTTCTCTCTACAGGCGCAGCGCAGCTAATCCTGTTTGAAATCACCCGCTTTTCATCTAATTTTGTAATAAACAGAATGGTGTACGTTTGTAGCTAACAAATGCGGATCATTTCGCTGTGCTTTCTAACGGCTTAGGACCATAGTTTAAGAACCATTATCATACAACAGTCTTAGATACCTCCATTCAGTATAGGTAATATGAACATGCTTAAATCATTTTAAACGCATCGATAAATGTAAATATATCATTTTTTCTTACAAAATATTAATTTTATTACAATTTTACGAAGTTAAATTTACAACTAAAATCCAATTTATTTATATTTAGCAATTATTTAAATCATAATCATAATAACTTCCCCCTATTATGGGATGTTCCATTTTACGGTACGGCGGAGTCACCTGATACATGCACAATGCATGCCCTCTACATTTGTACTTGTATCTCACTTGCACTGTACATACACCGGTACCAGATCACGGCTGGACTTCCGCACTTCGCTCAGTATAGCAGGTAGCCTACATCTATTTGAAGTATCCTCGAACGGTATCGTGTAAGGTGGTCTCGCCAAGCCAGCGGGGGTGTGTTCTCTGGAGACCGCTATCTTGCCTACGTATTTTGCAAACAAGCTCACTCACTCAAAGTTATCACTGCTGAAAATTGTTTATGTTTTGTGGGATAGTTCGTCTAGACACCAAAGATGGAATACAAGCCACTGAGAGTCTTCATAGACGTAATTTTCTTTATTGCAGGTAAGGAAAATAATGAAAGAATAAGATTTATTTCAACTTAAAACTTTGAGTTGAACTTCTAGAACGTGAACAGTCTCATGTTTTGTTTTTTTGTTTTTCTTATTGTATTCTTCTGTAGTCTTTGCTTGTTTTGGTGAGAGGGGTTTATGCCTGATGTGTGAAAATGTTTGTAAACAACAAGGAATGGATTTATATACTAAATACTGAAGGAGTCGGAGCATCTTTTTTCTTCTTCAGGCTTAGAATTTGTCAAATTTATGATCACTAAATAGGTGCACAAAAATGAAAGTGAGCTTGTAAGTTTCAAAATCACTGTCTATCATAACTTTTTTTAGGAATGGGAATCTGGAATAAACTATTAAGTAATGATTATGATTATAATTTTAATTTAATTGGAAAATTATTATTAAGTTTGTTATATAAGGGCAATCCAACAGTTAAAATAATTTCATTCATTCATAGGAAAGCAGAAAAATAGATATTACAGAATGGTGGAAGTTTGAAATAAATCAAACCAATGCAATAGTAAGAAAGTTATGACTTGCACATAAAACAGTATCAATGATTGACTAGTGTAGACACACGCATGATCTTACCGAGAGTACTGCCTGCAACAACTCGAGTACGGCATGGGTTCCTTGTGTGGGGTGTAGGCAATCCCTTTTTTCCCTTCATACCGGTACTTATATTCCGTACATTATACTTAATTTGAAATCTTCATTTTTATTTGTGTGTGTGAAATCTATAGGCTTGTATAAAAGAAATTAAAAAAAAAATAAAACTTTTTTTAATGTAAAATGTGGAATAAATAAACTTCAAACTTCAAACTTGAAAATATTCACATCCATAGATTGGCAGGTACCGGTAAACTGTTTAGGGTTCTACATGTAGCTGTACACAAGGTGATTGGTACTGTTTAAAAAAAAAAAAAAATTTGATCCATGATTGTGTGAACGACAGATTGTACGTACATGTATAAACAGAAATTACACAAATTGATGGGAATTGAGTCCATTTCTATTACAGTATATTGTGCTATTTAGCCTAACTCCACTCCCTGGAGTTATATTTAGCCACGAATAGGAGTGATTTAATAAAAAAGAGTGGAATTTATAATCACTTTTTTGTGTACAAATTGGCCATTTCTTGTAGATTTTTTGGGGTGATTTTTCATTCATAATGTTATTTAAACAATATGCACTTTTAATTTTTTGTTAACCATGAAAGAGTGGTAAATATCACTAGTTGTGTCCAATTAGAGGAGGAAGAGCTGATTAATTTCGACCTTTAGAAACCCTGAACTGTTATTTAAAGATCATCATACTTGGGTTCATTATCCATGAAATCTCCCACTGCATAAATAGACCTTTTTATGATGAGATAATCATTCAATTGGGGGCTCTTTAGCATCTATTGAGTCTGATCTATTCAAAAGTAGAAAAGTTTAGAGTTTCTAAGCCGCTTGTTTGGAGTCTGTTTGTCCAACAAATGAAAAGCTAGACTGAACACTTTCATTGATTCCGTTCAGCGTTCATTTATCTGAGAGCAGAACTAGGAGCCGTGACACTTGGCTTTCAAGAGAGGTCATTGAATGAAAGTGGATGGGTTGGAAACTTGGAATGGATCCGAGTTTCAGTCCACTGACTACCATTTTCGAGGAAAATACTGTAAACCCTGTATATTATTAAGACTGCTCAAGGGAAACATGAAAAGTGGTCTTTATACAATGTATGTACAGGTTCCTTTTATAGTACAGGTTTCAATGAGGCACCATTTTCAAGGGAAACAAAAAACATGGTATTTATAGACAGGTGTTCTTTCTATACAGGTGGTCACTAAATCAGGTTTGACTGGACAACAATTTAACTCTATAAATCATGGTAAACGATCATGTAAGCTGTAATACTGTAGTCCTTTTATTTTTTTAAAAGCCCTTTCAACATAAGATAACTGTAACTTTTAGGCCATGATTCCTTCCTTCATGATTTCTTCAAATTTGAGGTTCTTTCTTTTCTTTTCTTGTGAGTGTATGAAAATGAAAGTTCTCCTTGTCCCTCAAGAGAGCATCAAGTTTTATTCATATTCAAATAAAACAATGTTTTGAAACCTAATGCAAATAAATGTCTCAGCTCGCTTGAGACCCATCTGCTCGTTGCAAAGTCCATATAGTTACACATTTATCAACAGCTTGTGTCTGGGCATTGATAGATCACTTCAAGAGTCTCAAAACTACCCTTGAGGGTAGCCTGTTCGCACTGAGGATTTCTTTTTATAAAGAAACGTCTTATTAAAGGTAAAGACCAGTTATGGTCATGCGATTGCATTGTGAAAGAAACGGTGTGGAATCGATCAGAAAAGGTTGATCATCTAGCATCTAGCATCTGCAAGGTTCTGCAATCATCAAAATAATAAGAAATTTGGCCCATTCTTCTTAAAGTTACAAGCACTATACACAGAAAGATGTATATGGGACTACCCTATATCTCTCACAGACCATGAGAGAAACAAATTTACCAAATATATGAATTAGTAGGCGGTTTCTTGGCAAAGTTTTTATCATCATGTATTAGTCAAAACATATTCTTTCATATGATTGGTAATGAGAGCTTTCATTTCATTTTTTGAAATTGGGGCGTTTCCAATACTGGTCTTTACCTTTAAGAATCGTCAAATAGAGCGAAAGCGGCACACATGCATTCTTGTATAAAAAGTGTAGTACAGAGATATATCTATAAAGAAACTAGTTGATTCATTGAATTGTAAAATGAAATAGTATCATCCAAACTTAAATGCAAATTCAAAGGATTGCATTAAAAAAAAAAACACTTTAGAACAAATAACAAATGATAACTTTTGCACAAATGGACTTTACCTCATTTGCCACTGACTTGAAGCTTTTCTCAAGTGTTTCAATCACCAAAAGGAATTTTAGGGAACCCATAAGGGCCATATCCCTACAATGTACACTGTATTCAAAATATGAGAATGAAATGGTATTCTATACAGAGATATCAGAAGCTGAAATACATATTAACTCTCAATACACATTACAGTAACTTGTCATAATAGACGAGTCTAGACCCATGCATGATTGTCAAAGCGAAAGGGGCACGTTACAAAGAAATATCTAGAAAGAAGTTAGCTGTGAAGAGGCCAGTTGACATATGACAGCTGTCCAGTCATCAGTGTGGGCTCATTGATACAATGTTCACATTAGAAATGGACCCTGATTCTTTGTTGAGCTCTGTTCGAAATGATGCTCAAACCTGTGTTTCGCAATATCAAATTTTGTTACATGCAGGGAATAATTTTCCTCAAATTTTTTGATTAGCAATTTCAGGCGATGGATAAATATTTCAAATGAAATTCTGTACATTTCTATGGAAGAAAACTGCTACACAAAAGATATTTTGTATAGCAGTCATGCAAAAATGCATAGCAAATTGCGATGCGATACCAGGAAAATTATTCCCTGACATGACATTCACAATACCGCTACTCGAGAAAATATAGCAAATGGTTTTTATACAGTTTTACAATGAAATTTGCTATTCTGAATGGGGAGGGGGTCACTTTTAGCCAAAATGGGAGTGGTGTTTCTAATACCTTTGTTGAATAATGCCCATTCCGAAGTGGCAGCGTAGCCGATGGTAGCTTTAGAACAATGGATGAGAGCTTCAAGAGTGCCAGAGTGTGTTTAGCTGGCGGAAGCTGCTGGCTTTCCATTTTCTTTTACCTCCAAATGATCAGGAGAGTGATCTGAGGGTTTGTTTACCGGTAATCTTCACTTTAAAGAGCTTGGAGGAGGAGGAGGGGGAATTTCCATTGTATTCTTCTAAACAAACCTTTATGGTCAATGATTTTTATTTCTTTTACTTTAGAATGAAAGTAGAATTAAAGGATTTACTCTTCACCTGGCAAAGCTTTTTTTAAAAGAAATTTCCACTGTTCTCTAACTTCTCTTTATCCTTGTAAATGGTAATTTTTGTATTTTGTTTACCCCCAGATGAGATGCTCAGTAGAATCTAAGTATTTAATTGTCTTTTTGAAATGGACTTTTGGAGAAGCAAAGTTTTTGTATCTTCAGTTCTCACAGAACTTCAGTCGACCTTGACGAATACAGAAAAGACAACTTGTTCTTTTAGGTTGCCTTATCTATTGATCTGTGTTCAGCGAAAAATCAATAGCAACTTGTTCTTGTTCTTGTTTTTGTTTTTTTGTTCTTGTTCTTTTTGGTTACTTATCTATTGATCTGTTTTCAGAGAGAAATCAATAGCTTAAGCAGCCATGGCAATATACTCCTATCTACTGCATTGTTATCCCTTTTTCTTTTCTTTATGTCACTTTTGCTCATTTCCACTTTTCTTATGTTTGAATGTTAAATACTTCCTGATCCTATAAAGTAATGAGTGTGCCCACTACTCCTGACTTTTCGCATCTCCGATTTCAAATTGGATCTTTCGATGCTTTTCCTTTTAATAGTTTCTGTTTTAAAGCTTCCAGGCCAAGTTGCCACAAAAGCCAATATTGGGCCAATTTGAAAGAGGCTACATGTAGGTTGACACATGTTTTGTGATTCGACACTGAATGACCTTTCCCTCATTTTGTAATTTTTGTTCAATATCATAGAGAACTACAATTTCATAACATCTGAATCTGTCATGCTTGTGACTCGAAATGGGATGTTATTGCACTCTTTCAAAGCATTCTTGGGCTCTTTGATATTCTTTATCTTTCTCTCTTTCTCTCCCTTCCCTCTCCCTTCTTTCTTCTTTCCTCTCTTCCTCCATTGCTTCCTCCCTCCTTTTCTCTTATTCATTCTCCCTCCCTTCCTCTTGCTGGCTTCTTTCTCTCTGTATATGTCTCTCTTTTCTCGGTCTGTACCGGTATGCTCTCCTGTCACGTCTTTCTCTTCCTTTCCCTCTCTTCCTCTCCCTCTCTTCCTCTCCCTCTCTTCCAATCTCTACACCTCTTGCTTTTGCTCTCCCCCTCTCTTTCTT